CCAGGAATGCGAAGGCCTGTGAGGTTGGATTCGGCTGTGGTGGTAATTTCGACCACGTCGTCGTCGTCGCCAGGGATGTCGCGAAAGGTGTCGCGGGATGAGTCGCGAGCTGGGTCCTCATTCATGGGTGAGTGTATTTCTGCACTTGCATAATCGTGTTGTGTCTGTACTGCTTCATGGGGATCGATGTTGGTTGGGAAGTGTGCAGGAGTGCCGAGCTGCTCCGTAACGGGGATGAAGGGTACCTCGCCTGCTACGTCAGCTGCTGCCTCGTCCGGTTGTTCTTCCGCCACGTCAACATCGTCCTCGTCATTGGCGTAGCTGTGCTGTCCCTGGAAAACGTTGTCTGGTGCGTTTTGTGCAGTGCGGTGCTGGCGGTACAGTGGCAGAGTCAGTCTTTCGTAGAAGATGCAGTCACGTGAACGCGTGAGCTGGTGGGTGGCGAAGTCCAGGATTGTCCAGGCGTGGTATTCGGATTCGATTCCGAGGTGAATGCCCCAGCGAGCGCGATCTTCAAATTTTCCGGTTCGGGCAGTGTGAGGGCGGTACTGTACCATGCACCCGAAGACTCGCAGCATGCGTGTGTCAGGGTGTTTTCCGGTCCACTACTTGAAGGCTGAACTATTGTTGGGCAGTGCCTTCGAGGAGAGCATGTTGTGCAGCCGAACTGCATGTGCCATTGCAAAGGGCCAGTACTTGGTTGGCACAGCTGACTGTTTCATGAGGGCTCGCATTTTTGTCGCGAGGCTCCTGTTGGTTCTCTCGGCCAATCCCTGCTGTTCGTGGGCGTAAGGCAAGGAGATCATCCTCTTGATCCCCTTCTGCTTGCATAGGGTTTTGAAGTCGTCCGACAGGTATTCCAGAGCTCCGTCTGTCTGGAACGCCTTCAGCTTGTAGCCGTTGCTTTGATTTTCTGCCATGGCGAGCCAGATTTCGAAGCAAGCGTAGGCGAGGTAGCGATCCCGGACGTTAACGGCCCAGACGAAGCGTGTGCCAGCGTCGATGAAGGTAAGGGTGTATTGTTCCCCGCCGGCTCCTTTCGCCGTGAGCATTAAAAAATCGCTGTAGACTTTCTCCAGCGGTTTATATCGCTCAGCTCCAGGAATCTTTTCAGCGAAGGGCGTGTGGCGGAGCGCAGCTACCGGGCAGACGGTGCAGGTAGGCAGGTCGGTTCGTGGTTTCAGTAGTTTGCCATCGGGCAGCAACAGTGCGTCTGCCGCAAAAACGTTTGCGTTGATGCAGTTGTTGAGCACTTCGATTGATGGGTGTCCCATGCGTTGATGCCAGATGTCTCCGTCGGCCCGGTATCCCTTAGTGCGTGTGTACAGCTCCTTCTCGCGCGCTAATATCTCCTCCGCTGTTTCTTGCCTTGTTGCGTCCGCAGGTTCATCGGGCACGGTGACTTGGACTGCCGCTGCTTGAATTGTCACCCCATGATACGTTCCGCTGGTGTCGCCGGTGGTGACAGTGTCCATCGTCACCAGTAGCTCCAATGGCTTTTCTGGACGCGAGGTTCGTGCGTGGCGATCTTCGGGTTGCGCAACTTCGTCTTCCTCGAATAGGGTATCGCCGATCGCCACTCCCCTTGTCTCGAGGCGAAGATAGTCTCTGCCGTCCGTTGTGATGGGAAGCAGGTGAGGTCCGTATTCTGTCAGTGGCTCCTCCTCCTCGGCTTCTGGTGCCTCTTCAGTAATTTCCGGTTCCTCTGCTGCTTCTTCTTCTGCAGGTGCGTCGGCGATGTTGCCCCATCCAGTTTCAACTGCAACAGCTTCTCCGAACGCAGTGTTTTCCATGATCCAACGTGTGTCCACGGCGTCCCAGCCTTCGGTGATGTTCCAACCGGTAGGTTGCTCGACGCGAGGCCAGATTGCTCGTGCCCATCCTCCGGCTTCAGTGTTGGCCGTTTCCGTTGTTGTAGCTGCTGTTTCTGATGTGATTTCTTCGCCTTCTTCCACCGCCTGTGGTCCAGTGTCTGCAGGGTTCGTGGTCGAGGCAACGGGTACGGCAAGAGCGCGGAAGGTTCCGTCGAGGCCGGGTTGTTGATAATCGGTCTCTTCTGGGTGACTCCATCTTGGCGGCGACGGGTGACCCGGAGGGTCAAGAACAAGGATGTGTTCGTTGTCGCCGGTGGTTCTGGGCGACTCGAAGTCGAGCACGAAAACGCCTTCCACACTCGTTGCCTTTCCGATGAAGATGCCGTTGTATATTAAGTGCATCTCGTCTTCTGTTGTTTGCAGGCCAACCCCGCACTTCATCAGCTGGTGAAGTGACAAGAGGTTGTACCGGAGTTCCGGCACGATCAGGACGTCGCTTATGTGGATGCAGTAGCCGGTGTCGTGTGACTCCAGTTGCACTTGTCCGCGGCTTCTGGCGTAGATGGTCTGGCTGTTGGCAACGGTGATCTCCACTTCGTTAAAGAGTCGCTATCTGTTGAGGATGAAGATATCTGAGGACACCATGTGCTGACCACAGCAGCTGTCCAGGTACCACGTGTTGACTTCCTTTCTTGCTTTGGCCAGATTGGCAAGCTTCGGAGTGACGTGATGTTCCATGTCGTGATCATTTTCGTAGTCGTAGTAACATTCTTCGTTGTCGTCTACGATGCGTGCAGGTGGCGACTCCTGAATCCACTCCGGCGCTTCCCAGTCAAACTGCATCCGCCCGACTGTCAACTCGTCGTAGGTTGGATCATTCTCCTCTTCTTCTTCGACTGATCCTTTGGGCCGCTCCAGAGGCGGGTCTGCGAACATGTCTTCCCAGCTGCGGAAGAAGCGGTAGTGACGGTTGGGGCGAGGCGGTCCACGACGCACCATGCAAGTCAAGACCTTGCTTTTGCCCTTGTCGCTTGTGTTCGCAGAGAGACGCGCCGGGGCTTGGGACGTGCTGGCGACGGCTGGCGGCGACACAGTTTGGTTGCGCGCTGCCGCTCCTCCTTGCTGGTGAGCAGCGGCACCCTTCTGGTTGTTGTTGTTGCCGTTCAGCTTCCAGCAGTCTTGAATCATGTGCCCAGTCTTCTTGCAGTACTTGCAGAAGAGTCCTTTCTTGTCCGGTGGCGCTTGAGCGTAAAAGGCGATCTTCTCCTTCTTGTTCCCTCGTTCGTTGTACAGGTCGATTTCCTTCTGCTCGGAGAGAAGCGTGGAGCAGAGGGCAGTTTCACTGAGGGTTCCTTGCGTGCGAAGGAGTGACTTGCATTGGCGCCATTCCGGGCTCAATCCAGCGAGGATGATAGTGACGAACATATCGTCAGGGAAGTTTCCGCCGCTTTTCCTGAATTGATCTCTCAGGTTCCTGCAGCGGTTGATGTATGGGCCGGCCTTTTCGCCGGGAAACATCTTGACGTTGTTCAGCTGGTTGAGCAGGCGACTAAGTGTCACCGAGTCTGTTGCCATGTGGCAGGTGCGCAGGTGTTCCCAGGACTGTTGCGCGGGCGCCCATTCGTTCTTGAAGGGGCGAATGCTCAGCTGTTCTTCAGGCGACAGGTTTCGTATCAGGACGGTGAAGGCCAGGAGTGATTCGTTGTAGTACTGACTTTTCTCCTGAGGTGAGCCATTGGTCGGAAATGCGTACGACCCGTCGTAATACATCCAGATCTGAGCGCCTTGAGCTAGTAGCTCAAATTCGAAGCTCCACGTGTAGAAATCTTGTCCGTCGAAGGGCTTGGTAGTTCTGAGCTTCGACGTGGAGAGGAAATTGCTCTGCATTGAAGCCATTGCTTCGTAATGTGTTTGTTGGGCTTGAGCAGATCCTTGAACTCCGCGGTTGTCGAAGGTGAAGGATCGCTCAGATCCAGCTCCTTGAGGATCGGGAGGTCTGCGGGCGTAACTTGAGCCGTCAATGCTCATTGGCTGGTGGCTCTCCAGTGCGCTGATGCGGGAAATTAGCTGGTCGAGAAGCGCTGTGTCCACAGTCGTCGTAGTAGAGGCGACATTGGTGGAGGGTTGCACTGGATTTTCTCCAGTCTCTCCGCAGTCTGCGCCTGGCATGTTGATGCCCTTGATGTTGTTGATGTTGAGATTAATTTATAAAGAAGCTTTGTCGGAAGCCCTTTTAGCAGATCCTATAATCCAAACTAGCTCTCATACCATGTTAGAGGAAGGATCTTTTAGATAGGATAGGAAGTGCCTTGGTAGAGTTGGTAGCGGAAGTCTTGTAAGAACTCAGATCATAGTGAATGTAAATGACCAAGTTAATTAAAAGATAGAATACAAGGAATATAAATAGTCCTAGTCTAGTCATGTACTCTAAGGGGTACATTCCCTTATTATAACTGTTTTACAGGCATTTCTACAGTGACTCTGACTGTTGTACTGCCTTTCTTGTTACCGAGTCGCTGCATGTAACCTGTACGGTTACGCCTGTTGCCATTCCTCGATGGTAAGTCAAGCGCCGGTCCAGATGGTCAACAGTCGCGACAGTTGACTCTTGCGACTGTTGACCTTCCTGCCCTTGTTACGGGCTGATCCGATATTGCGGTAGTTGCTGCTTCGACAGAGTCAGGTGCGATACTGCTGCACCTACGGGAATGCTAAGTGTAATTCCCTTCACACTCCAACAAGGGGAATTCCCTCGTGAATGGTACGGAACGGATGTAAGTTTCTAATGTCATGACCAATTTTCCCACATCTTGCCATGTCTTGCTTGTGTACTTATGAGAGGGCTGTGAGTGAGAGGCCTTGTTTAGTGCCTATGAGAGCCTGCTCAACAATGGCACCAGGGTAATGTGTAGATGTACAGTAGCAAGACATGGCAAGATGTGGGAAAATTGGTCTCCTCCACAAACATTTCTATAATCTGAATGCATTACTTACTACGTACTAAACATAGAACATATGCTTCATCAGAACCTACTTTTAGCAGACAGAACCGGGTACTTCCATCCTAAAACCTAGCAGTAGCACAGAACCTAGTTGCACTAAGGGTACCGGTACCTGGTTCCATCCTAACATACCACCATGACTACTGTGTGTGTATTCTAAGTTCTAACATCCCATTTTCGGACGTCACGGCTTGCGGCGATAACAGTCGTCTCTGTTTGCAAACGTAACCAAATCGGCGTCGCACACTCCGGCTTGCAGCGCACACACAAGAGCTCGAGCCACCACCTGATTGGCTGCCTCCGATGGATGCACGAAGTCCCAGAAGGCGCGCGATTGGCTGTCGGCACACAGCGTTGCAGGTGTGGAGGATTGCGTGCCGTTGGATATGAAGATCGACGTTCCACATTGCACGAGACCGTTGATTGGAGGAGGGGCACCACAACACGCGGACGTTCCCACATTCAACCCGTAATCCCGAGGCGTCTCCACAATAGCCTGCATAAGCGCGTGGGTCCGAGCGTACACTACTGTAGCACCTTCAAGCTCATCCCTTAAACCACTCAATGCCAGAGCAAGAGTAGCACTGTGCCCCGCTGTAAGCTGATTCACTGCAGGATTGCAGGTAGAAGGTGCAGGCACATTGGATGGTTGGCCGAGAGACTCAGCAAGTGTGGCGTGGGCGATGGGGGTGCATCCAATAGGCAGCGTGTCGAAAAGCAGGAAATGGCGAAAGCCCGCAGCATAGAGGGTCTGGTAAGGTGGGTAAGGGGGAGGGGGGAGAGGGCGGTGGGGTGGGAAATTGGGGAGGGGGAGCGGGAGTTGAATATGGATTGGGTTGCTGACAAGGTAAAAGCAATAATAGGCTACCGATCCCTGCAACAGCAGTCCCTCCCCCTCTCCCCTCACTCCCCCAGGATCTCTATACTCGACCAGACCAGCCAGCACGATCACTCCATGCACAAGACCCCCCAGGGACCTCCCCCGGACAGTTCTGTTGAAATCATTTTTGAGAATTCTCGAAAGTGATTTCAACACTGGGACCTCACCCGGACAGTGTTGGCGATCCCGGCGATCACAGTGGCAATGCGGCTCTGAGACTGGGTGCTGTCCCCACAACCACTCCACTCCACACACAACAACACCTCCCAGCGACCTCACCTGGACGGTGTTGGCAATCCCGGCGATCACAGCGGCAATGAGGCTCTGCGACTGGGTGCTGTCCCCGCGGGCGAGGAACACGAGGTAGTCGTCTGTCGCCACTGATATGATCGCTAGCGCCGGTCTTGAGGGCTGCTCGTCACATGGGGGGTGCAAAAACAGGGAAGAGAGGGGAGGCTCTGCGACTGGGTGCTGTCCCCGCGGGCGAGGAACACGAGGTAGTCGTCCGTTGCCACCGATATGATCGCCAGCGCCGGGGATGAGGGCTGCTGGCCGCGTGGGGGGGTGGGGGGCGAGCGAACAGGGAAGAGTGGCAATGAGGCGTTACAAGGAAGAGTAGGGACGGTGAAGGGAGTCCATCGCGGAAACCTGAAGGCCTCGAGATTCTCTCTGTGATATGGCGGCTAGGGACTGATGTATGCAGGGCACTTACAGGGGGCAGCGAAGGCACTCACCCACCGTGCTGGCGCATGCAATCTAATGCTTAGGCTATCCAAAGGAAGGCAAGGAGGGCACTCACCTTCGCTGGCGCCTGCAGGCCGCCAAGCTCTGAAAATCGTGCGAGCTGCGCAGAGAGAGGGAAGACCTGCAGGCCGGGGCATGGAGGGGGGGTTGGGCGGAACGGAAGAGTTGCAGAGTTCATGAGATCCTTCTTGTTGTAACAAGAATTGCAGGGTTCCTTTTATATTTTCAAAGAAAACGCCTGCAACATTGGAGGGGTGGGTGGACAGAACGGTTACAGGGTTCATGAAATCATTCGATTTCAAGGGTGGTTTGATACTCATTGGATTCTCAAGGAGACTTGAAAGCAAAGTGTGTGGAATTCAAGGTAGCACGGTCTACCGGCTTTGAAAAGATTCGTGGTTAGAAGGGTTGGAACTGCCTTGTTATCGTGCACTCTTGTCTCATCTTCCCCGCTCTCGGTACCACCTGGCCCCCCATTTGGATCCCACCTGCCCGCAATCAGATCCCACCTGCCCCACATTCGTGGCGTCCAGCACTCCCGCCCCTGAGCTGGCGAAGTTGAGTCCGCTTTGGGCGGCACTGCTGTTGATGCCAGGCTGGAAAGCCGCAGGGGCGGCGGGCAGCTCAAAATATTCCGCTGGAAGGGTAAATATGGGCAGGATGAGAAATGGTGCGTTATGCGTGCATCTTGCTGCGTTTTAGGGTTAGTAGAAAACAGGTGCATGGCTAAATACACACAAACCCCCTAGAAACGTGGACGGAGTATCTATCACTTACAGAGATAGTCGATGATGAGTTTCCCATCGCTGAATCTGCCACTAGCGGGGATGAAATTCATCCCGTAGGGAGGAAAATTCGCGCGGTAAAAAAGCGGCCCGCCATAGTTGTTGTTCCCGACGTCAGCGAGCGAGTCGCCAAACGTGTAGATCGCACCGAACTTGCGACCAGGGCGCGCTAGCGCGCAATTGCGCTCCCCCCGCTTAGCAGCGCCTGGGGCTGACGCGCTTGCGCCAGCCAGCCCTCGTCCCCTCAGGCCGTGTTGCGCGGGCCACGGGGCATCGTCTACGGGGGAACGGGCCGCAGCGCGGCACTCCCAAGCCAGGAAATGGACGGCTGCGATCAGCAGGATGAGGGCACGGGAGGGGACGCGTGCGCGAGGCAGGCGAAGATTGAGGGCGGTCGACATGGAGTCGAAGTGGTGGTAGTGCTCGGGGCGATGTCGATGCTTCGAGTGCTCGTCGTTTTGTGCGGATATGAGCAGTGGGCCCGAACAGCCCGTTAAATACAGCAGCGTGAGATTCACGTTGAACAGTAAAGTGGCGGAACGTCATGATCCCGTGGCGTGTTGTGCCGTCTGCCAACGGTCCAGGCAAGGCAGGAAGAGTCTGACGTTGCAGCGCGGGTGGGAAATCGAACAGCCGACCTGTCCGCTGACGCTAGAGTAGAGACTCACGCGAACATGTGCGCTGTCGTGTGAAAGGGACGATCCGAGGCGCTGTAAATAGTGTCGCTTCGCTTCGGACGATGGGTGTGGTGTTATCCATTGGCGACAGGGAAATCTGAAAAGCTCCACTATAGGGTAACCAGATTCGTCGCCAGCTCGGTGCCTTGCATTGCTCTACGATTAATCGCGTGTATTGGCGAGCGAGGCGTACCTCGCATGTCGTCTACACTCCAGCAAACTCCAAACAAAACTGTCACAATTCAATGCGAAGGATTACCGATTACCCCATTTTCCCATTTGTCGCACGCATTCGAATGTTGGGAGGTGCTACAGCAGGCTTTGGATCGGCTACCTTTATTCTCATATATGCATCTTTTACATATCAATGGCTGCATTTGTCATTGTTGACAAACCTAAACAGATCAATATCACATACCCCTGCCTGCAGGGCACACACCAGGGCTCGAGCCACAACTTGATTTGCTGCCTGAGACGGATGCACCAAATCCCAAAAGGTACGTGATTGGCTATCATCGCATAGCGTTGCAGGCGTGGAGGATTCCGTGCCGTTGGATATGAAAACCGACGTTCCACATTGCACGCAACCGTTGATAGGCCGAGGGGCACCACAACACGCAGATGTCCCCACATTCAACCCGTAATCCCGAGGTCTCTCTGCCATTGCCTGCATAAGCCCATGCATCCGCGCATACACTACTGTAGCATCATTCAATTCGACTCGTAAACCATCTAATGCAAGCCCGAGCACTGCACTATGCTCTCTTGTAATCAAATTCACTGCAGGGCTGCAGTACGAGGGGGCAGGCTCGTCTAAAAGCTGGCCCTGGGCTTCAGCAATGGTTGCAAGGCTGAGGGGGGTGCAGCCGATTGGCAGCGTGTCGAAAAGAAGGAAGTGGCGAAAGCCAGAGGCATACAGGGTCTGCTTGAGTGGGAGTGGGAAGGTGGAGCAGAAGGGGGGAGAGTAGAGAAAAGTTTAGAGCAAGGTGCGTTGAGTGTGTGTTGTGTTGTGTGGACAGGGTAGCAAGGAAAAGGCTGTAGCACTGGGTAGCAGGGGTGAAGTGAGCATCAGACAGTAGGAATAATGTGTTATGAGGGGGAGAATTCTTCCAAAATACCTCAGAATACTCTTTATAAAACCAGCCCAATTGCTGATGAATGCATCCCATAACACCCCACCCCATAAAACCCCTCCCAATCCATTCCTTACCCGCACAGCATCGGTGATCCCCCTGACAACAGCGGTAACCAGGCGCTGCAACTGCGGAAGGATCTCAGCCAGTCGTAGCAGCTCAGAGGGGTCCATCTGACGGCCCATGTCGATCCCCTTTGCAAGAAACGCGATATAATCATTGGTGCCCATAGACACGATGGCGAGAGGGGGGAAGTCGGACTGCTGGTAGCAGGACGAGGGGGGGGGGGGGGGGGAGAGGGGAAAGGGGAACACGGAGAGGGCAAGAAATGAATGGGGGCACTGCTGACAACAGGGCCAGACAAGGTGACTGGGAAGAGGATAAAGGGCAAACACAAACAGAGCATACGAATGAAATCAAATAAATCACGAAGATGATAAGAAGCCAGAGCCCCGAACCGTCACCCTTGAGAGGCGAGCCACTCACTTGCTCTGCTGCTTGCAGCCCGCCCAGTTCCGAGAACCTTGAGAGCTGCATGGAGAGTGGGAAACCCTGCACGCACAACCATGACTGGGTGAGTGTCGCTGGAAGAATGAACTTTCTGTCCAAGTGTCTGGGTCTCAACACTTCTACAGAAATGGAAAGCGCACCTTCAGATCCCCCTTTCTCCCAGTGGTACCACTCTCCAAGCCTCCGAACCTCCGAAGCTCACCTTGTCTGGAGTAGAGGTGTCCAGCACACCCGCCCCTGAGCTGGCGAAGTTGAGTCCGCTTTGGGCGGCACTGCTGTTGATGCCAGGCTGGAAGGCCGCAGGGGCGGCAGGCAGCTCGAAATATTCTGCTGTTAGGAGAAAGAGGGAAAACTGAGGCGCAGTGAGGGCCTGGAAATTCACGCTGACCTGAATCTTTGTGTGGAGTGTCACTTACAGAGATAGTCAATAACGAGTTTGCCATCACTGAACCTCCCACTAGCGGGGATATAGTTCATTCCGTAAGGAGGGAAGTTCGCGCGATAGAAACTATCCAGGCTGCCGTAGTTGTTGTTGCCAACATCAGAGAGCGAGTCGCCAAACGTGTAAATCGCGCAGAACCTCCTACGTGCTATGGCGCATTTGGCATTCACGCGATTTGTGGGCAAGCCGGTGATTGACGCCTGTCTGCGGAGCTGATCTGTGAAAAGCGCGCCCCGGGTTCCGTAAATCGCGGCGGGACTGGCGGCGTTACCAGGAGGAACAGTGTTCGAGTCTGCGTCGGCCAGGCCGCGTCCTCTGGAGCCGTGTCGCGAGGGCAGCGCGGAACCTAAGGCCGAATCTGAGTGGACGGCAGCGCGGCAGTCCCGCGGCAGGAGGTGGACGGCTGCGATGAGCAGGAGGAGCACACGAGAGGAGGCGGAGGCGCGCGGGAGGGGTGGCTGAAGGCAAGCCTCGGAAGAGCTCGCCATGGGACCGAGTGGAAATGGTTCCGGCCTAGCTGTCGAAATTATCTGCCCTTTATGGCGATGTTACTGCCTCGACTCGAAACAAAATGTTTGGCTGCCTAAATTCAGATTTCCTCTCACATAAGTTTTTTTGAAGGACGAAGAGAAGGAGCCGCGGCTCATGAGTCGAGGGTCACGTCACAGCCTATTTTCCAGTCAAGGCAGGACGATTCGGGCGGGAGTGCGGTCGGACGTTTTGACAGATTATGAAGGACCATAGCGTATGCGCTTACGTGTGAAAGGGGACATGAGAGAGGAGAGGACTAATAAGTACGGCTATTGAGGGGCTAATTGAAATTCTGTTTCGTAGTGACAGTTATGCGGTTGGGATTGGTGGGAAGGTGCGAAGGAGTCAGTCATATTGAGGAACTCGTGCGACGCGAACGACTGTCCTCCTGATCGTCGCATCGCGTCGTATTGGCGTTTCCGCGTCGTGGCGCACAAATCAAAATGTCGTCCAACTGGAACTTTGACGTCCTGGACTGGAATTCGAATCGTGCGATCGACTTCACGAGGCTCTCAGACTGGTTAAACCATGCAGGTGTCGCCAGCGATGGTACAGAAGTGTTGTTTTCGAACTGTCCAAGTCAACTGCGACGAAGCTGGGGTTGTGAAAATGTAACACCGAGTTTTGATTATATAATAACCATATATTGAACCACTAGTTCCAAATGTTATGGAACTCCAAGCTCATAAGCTATAATGCCAACAAAATGCTGGCCTTCATTGCAAGATGAACCCTAACAAGAGTGGGGACATACCCCTTAACTGCTAGACATATATTAGTGTGCTCGCATTTCAGGGAACTTGCTGAGAATGCGGGTGGCGTACTTCACTATGGTCATGTCTCCCGATCGTTTTAACCGATGTAGAATACGGAAGATATCTATCGACCGGAGGTATTCGCGGCACGCTGAATGCGAGCACATGTTGCCAAGGGAGAACAATGCAATCTTTACTGGTGATTGTGACTCCCCACCCTCTCTCCGCGGAGTTTGTTGTTGACTTGTTCCAGCCACGACCAAGTCCACCAAGGCCTGCGATGCGCACAGAAGACGCAAATGAGAAAAACGTGTTCCTCCTTACAATGTGCAACATAAACTTCAAGCGCACAACATTACATTTTCCTCCGTGCAACATGTGCAACATTTGCATAGCACCAAAAGCCCCCATTGAGAGACAAGTTGCCCCCGTGCGCACCCTAAACCCGAAACCCCGAACCCCTGATTTGCGCACCATGTTGCCCAGCGCCCTTCAGAAAACACCCCCTCATCCTATCCTATCCCCTCCTACCACCATACGCTCACCTGCAGGGCGCCCTGAGAAATGAGGTCGTGGCAGAGCTCCCCTGAGTTGCGCACCATGTTGCCCAGCGCCCTACAGAATACACTCTCATCCTCTCCTAGACAACCACTACCACCACCCTCACCTGCATCGCCCCCTGGGAGATGAGGTCGTGGCAGAGCTCCCCCGAGTTGCGCACCATGTTGCCCAGCACCCTTTCAAATACACACCCCTTCCTCTCCTCCTCCCTCCCCCCCCTCCCTCCCATCATGCTCACCTGCAGCGCCCCCTGGGAGATGAGGTCATGGCAGAGCTCCCCTGAGTTGCGCACCATGTTGCCCAGCGCGCCTGCAGCATTGGCCTTGATCTTGTCGTCGCTGCTGCTGGGCGGCCCGCTCTCGGCAGCTAGCAGCACCGCCAGGTGTGGGATGACTGGTCTCAGGGCGGCGTACAACGAACTGTTGTGGTATGCTGCGTTGCCTATCTGTTAGTACAGGGAGAGGAGAGATGATGCGCTGTGAGGTAGAGGAAGTGATGGGGCACGGGGAGAAAATCAATGCGCAGTGGCATCTGGGAATGCACAGAGCAGAGGACACATGCGGTCATGTGGATCAGGTGGATCAGGTGGATCAGCAGTAGTGCACTGGACGATCACCACTGGCACAAGGCAGCCCTACACATGCAACACATGTTAGTGCATTGTTGCACTCACTGCAAAGCAGGCGAACTTGCGTGTGTTCCGGTCATGGTCGGCGCAGCACTCTATGAGGCGGGAAAGAATCCCCGAGTCCACCTGCAGTTGACACGCACAGGGCCAGAAGGAGAGCAGCACATCACTGAACGTCATGCTACGAGAGTGGCGGCACCATGCTGCCCATACAGCTGCTGCTTTGGATAATGGCAAAGCGATATGAGAACTGGCGTACCAATACTAGTATGGGGAATGGCAAACGAGGCATACCATGATGGGGTAGAAGTAGGCGGAGTGGCGGCACATGTTGCCCACGGCGTTGCAGGCCTTGGAGCGCACACCAGCATCGGGGTGTGCGAGGAACACCTCCAGTGCCCCGTAGATGTCTGCCGTGGCTATGGGCTCGTAGTAGTCCTGGGGGGGGGGGGAAAGGGGGCAGGGGGGGAAGTGGCACAACGGGGCAGACAAAAGGAAGAAAGTGAGCGGTGGCACATGTTGCCATTGCAGGAGTGCACACCAGGGTGTGCGAGGAACACCTCCAGTGCACCATAGATGTCCGCCGTGGCGATTGGCTCGTTGTAGTCCTGTGGGGGGAAAGAGGCAGGGGGGGAAGTCGTGCAACGGGGCGGAGAAAGGGAAAGTAAGTGAGTGGTGCACGTGTTGCCCGTTGCAGGAGCGCACACCAGCGTCAGGGTGTGCGAGGAACACCTCCAGTGCACCGTAGATGTCCGCCGTGGCTATGGGCTCGTAGTTGTGGAGGGGGTGAGATGGGGGGACGAAAGTTAGTGGCGGAGTCAGTGAGATGTGGAACTGCAGTCGTTTTAGAGCATGGGTTTGGGGGACAGCAAGCATCGGTATAATCAGGTGGCAGGTACAGTTTCAAACATCGGCATACGATCACTCACCTCGGAGAGCCTTGAGAGGTGGGAGACGATGAGCAGCACGTCCATGACCACCTCCATCACGTACCCCTGCCCCTCCTCTCCCTCCCCCCCCTCCGCCCCCTCCCCCTCGCCCTCCTCGGGCTCCTCCATACCGAACAGCTTCCCCATGAGCCCGGGGTCCAGCCCCCCGTGGCGCACCAGCAGTGCCGCTGCTGCTGGCGAGTGGTGTGCGACGCGTGACAGCAGGTTGATGGGGCCGATTAGAGCTGGGCCCTGAAGTACCGCCAGTGACGCCAGCAGCACTGGGATGGCTGAGGACTGGTTGACAGGAGAAAGGGGGAGAGTGGGAAACAGGAGGAGAAGAGCAGAAGTCGGATGATGCTATGGAAGGATAAGCGGATCCAAGAAGGGGCTAGAGGACCAGGCGTGAGTTGTTGCAACAGCTTGGGGCTGAGGATAGGAACAAGCAGCATCATGCCGATACATCATGCAGCATGGGAACCCAAGCTGCTTCACGCCCCATCCACGCACCTCCTGCAGCATCTGCAGGTACTGAGGCTGCAGCGCCAGCAGCGCCCGTGACAGCTCATCCATCTCCCCCCCGCTGCCGCCCGACCTGCCGCTGCTGCCGCCCGCCGCCCCGCTAACTGCTGAAGCAGCAGGCGCAACACTAGTAGTGCCGCCTGCACTGCTCGCCCCCCCAATGGCATCCCCGGCAACGACTGCATGGAAGGGGAAGAGGAGCACGTCCACCACCCCACACACTAGCTCCACCACCATATCCAGTGATACCGGCTGTGCCACTCCCTCCAAGCTTCCCTCCATCACCCACGCTGCTTCCCCCCACATCTGCCCTGCTTCCGCCCCCCCTCCCCCTCTCCCACCTCCTCCGCGCCCCCCTGCCCCTTCCGCGCCCCCCCTGCCCCCCTCCCCTCCCCCCTGCGCCAGTTGCATCTCCCCCCATGGCCCACCCTGGCAGTTGTCCCACGCCTGTAGGTGCGCTAGGTGGAAGGTTCCGAGAAGCTTCAGGAGGATGTCGATGGGGTCGGGGCCGATGAGGGCGTCGCGGTACCCTCCGGCTGAGAGGAGGGGGAGGGGGGAAAAGAAGAAAAGGGACGGCAAAAGAGGAGTGTGCGGGGGAGGTGAGGGACCAAGGGAGGAAGGGGAGCATTGGGATGAGCAGGAAATACCAAGTGGGATGAGAGGCTGGAGAAAAATCAGACATGGGTATAGAAGAGGCAGAAAACAGAGCAGAGAGGCACTGCAGTAGAAGGCGTGCAATAGGGGTCATGGGGAGAGAGTTGTGGAGTGGAGGAGCGGGGGAAAACGTACCAGGCAGGCACATGTAGAGCCCCGCCAGCAGCCACATGACGCCCGTGGGTGACAGCCCCACATGGTCCGGGGGCGCGCACCCCCTCTCCCCCGCCGCCCACGCCGCCCTCTCCCCCTCAATCGCCTTCCCCACTCCACTCCTCCCCCCTTCCCCCCCTCCTTTCCCGCCACCAACACGGTCCACACCCCCTCCCAGCACACTCATCATAGAAACTAGCAACCCATCTTCCAGTGCTTTCTCAACCGCCTGAGGCCCCCCCAGGCGCAGGGAGACAGTGAGCATGCCCACATACCCGTCCCGCACCCCGTGCCACCGCCCCACCACCCTCCCCGCGCCCCCCCACAGCTCCCCCCACCCGCCATTACACGCCCCAAACCCCTCCATCCCCTTGGAAAACCCCGGAGCGTGAGAAACACGCAGCTTGGAGGAGAGCAGAGCGAGCGGCGGGAGGTATTTCAGGACAAGGTCGGAGATGTTTGAAGAGTCTGGCGCGTCTGCTGGGCTGCTGCTACCAGGGGTCCCGCCGAATGAGGCCCTGCCGCCTCCCCACGACCCGCCTCCGAAGGACCCTCGCCGCTCCCCTGACTGTGCGAGTTCTAGCTCCATTATAACTGCCATCGCCAGCGCTGCTGCTGGTGCCGACGGCCGCCCCGGCCCCACCCCCATCCCCTGCTGCTGTTGCGTTTCACTCCTTGCTGCTCCTCTCGTTCTGCTACCACCACCTGTTGCTGCAGCTGCAGCACCACCCCTCCCTCCCTCAGCTTCCCCAAATCCGCCTTCCCCTGCCAGTTTCCCTAGAACCGCCAGCCTGACCTCCTGCACTTGCGAGTCTGACGTCAGCACCCACTTGCCGCCCTGCAGGCCCCTCAACCCCAACCCCTCCGCTACAGCCGCCACTACCAGACAAGCCAACGCCGCCCGGACGCTGCATTGCAAGGCGTCTTCAGGAGCAGCGGGAGAGGAGTGGAGGAGGGAGAAGATAGCAGCAAGCAGGGAGTCAGAACCCCCTCCCGACATAATGCTCCCATCGTGCCCGGGGAAGGGGGCGTTTGGGATGGGAGCACGTGCCATGAGGCAGCAGAAGGACGGGGAGAAGAGGCAGCAGCGCAGCAGCAGCTGCAGCAGCCTGGGAAGCAGCACATTGTTCCCTCCCACCATCTCCAGTGCTGCAGCTATAGCCGCACTCGCACTCGCCCCATTCCCAATAATCACCTCAACGACTCGCCGCAGCAGCCTCTCTCCCACAAACCTCTCCTTCTCGAGCTTTTCCCCAAGAGCCCTCCGCAGCTTCCCTCCCTTCTTCCCTATGCCTTCTACGCCCTCCCACCCAGGAGCACCCCCAAGCATAACTGCCAGAGGAAAGCCCTTCCTGTCCCCACTTCTCCACTCCCCACTGGCTGCTTCCATTCCTTCCACAGCTGCCCAAATTCCCAGCAGAGCTTGCAGACTCGCCTGCTGCCACTCCCCCGCCTCCTCTGTATCAATCTTTTCAGCTGCCCGGCCGGCACCCCGGGCAGCAGCCCCGCCTCTTCCACCCTTCCTCTCCTGCTCTTGAGCAGCTAGGGCAAGCCCCTTCCCTGCGAGGGCAATGCAGCGGGCCATGTGCTCGGTGGCAGCCACTGCCTGTGCGCATGACAGTATCTCCGTATCCACGTAACTCACACTGCCCGCCCCTGCTGCTGCCCCTCCCCGTCCCCCTGTTCCCCCTCCCCCTGCTGCTGCTCCCTGTGTGCCGCGTGTGCTCCTGTCTCGTGTGCTTCCCCCCGCCTTCTGCTGTCTCTGTGAGCCAGTGGACGGGGGGGCGGTGGCGGTAGGGGCGGGGGGAGAGGGGCCGGGGAGGCAGGCTGCGCGGACGGCAGCAGAGGAGGCGGCGAGGAGGAGAGCGAGGGACGCCGTGGCGAGGTGGCACGCCTCGCCTGACTGCTGTGCTGACCCTTCCAGCACCTGAGCAAATCAGTCCGTTTGGGACATTGGGGGCGGGAGGGAGTAAGGGGAGAGAGGATGGATTGGACGGGAAGGGGAGGGAACGCACATGGGGCAGAAGGATTCTAGAGGCGACAAGCCACTGATTCCAAGAGAAGGAAGATGAGAAACGGTCGCATGGCGACAGGTGCATGTCGTACCTTGGGGTATTTCTTGATGAACGCGAGAGCATTCTCCAAAAACGCTCCCTCCGTCTCCCGATCCCACTCCCCCTCCTCGCCCTTCTTCCCGCCCCCTCCCGCCCCTCCCCCTTTCCCCTGCCTATCCTTCTCCCTCTCCTTCCCCGCCTGGCTGCCCGCGAGGGACGCTCTGAGGGCGAAGGCACAGCGCAGCAGGGCCAGCGCGGGGCACAGCACGGGCTGCAGGCGGGAGGATCTGTCCGCGAGACACGTGTCAAGCAGGGATAGGACGGCGGGGAGCACGTCGTAGTGCAGGCAGCGCGCGTCCAGAGGAGGGTCGGAGGGGTGGCGGTCGGTGACGAGGGATGCCAGGGAGTGCAGCGCGCTCGCTGCTGCTGCTATGGCGTCACTGGCGCGGAGGGAGGGGGCGAGAGCAGGGAAGTGAAGAGGAGGTGAGGGGAGTGAAGGGAAGGGGAATTGTGGGGAGGGGAGGGGAGGGATGGGAAGAGTGACATCTGCTGCAGCGGCCGTGTGTGTATAAGGCTGGCGCAGTGAGGCACGAGTGTGAGTAGCACGGGTGGGGCACTCACGGGGATGCAGAGGCGGCCTTTGGGAGGAACGAGCGGATGACTTCCAAACGCCTCAGCAGGCGGCTCCTCCCTGGTGGGATGGCATGGGGACGTGCATGGGATACAATGATTACAATTAAAGGCGTGCATGCGTTGTCATGGTAGCATAAATGACACAACCAGCGGCGCATACAGAGGATAGCAACAATCACTCGTGGGAACGCCAATTTCAGAACAGCAAGGGCACATGCATTCGTGCTACGAAAGCAAGTGAATTACCTGTGGCTGCTGGCTGAGCCGGAGGCGGCATCTCCTCTGCTGCTCGCGCTGCTCTCGCCCCTCTTGGCCCCTCCTCCCCCTGCTGCCTCTGCTGCTGCGCCTGCTGCCGCTGCTGCTGCGGCTGCGCCGGTGTCTGGGCGGGCTGAGCAGGCGGGGCGGGGGCCTTCGCGGGCATGAGGTTCTGGGGGGTGGTGCGCGCCTCTATGTTGCGCAGAGGCAGCTCCCGTGCCTTCTTGCCTGGCGTACACGGCACAGGCGTCGTGCCCCCTGCTGCTGGCGCCGCCTTGGCGTCTGGTGGAGGCACAGGGGGGAGGGAGGAGAGAAGGGAGGGGAGAGAAGTGAGCTGAGTGCCGGGTACAACCTTGCCCTTGCCACGCGGTGGAAACGGTTCATTGCACACTCACAGCAACGACCTAGCGATCAGAATGAGAGAATGATTGGCATGCATGGGCAAGGTCACTGGGCAGAGGGCAGAGGGCAGAGGGCTCCAGTTTTGGAGGCTGACCTGGTGCAGCGTTGGCGTTGGCGTTCTCCTTGGCGGCGGAGGGCATGAGCGGGTGGGGGAGAAACGTGCTGGCACGTGCATGCCATGCTGCCCTGCATGCTCGCTCCATCGCCTTCTGTGCTCGCTCCTCCTGCCATTGCCATTTTCATTATCATTGGCATTGCCATGCACAGGCCCATGCAGCACACAAACATGCATGAGTATCAACGCAATTCCTGTCAGGCCGTGCAATTCCTGTCAGGCCGTGCAATTCCTGACAGGCCGTGCAATTCCTGACCAGCATGGACAGCAGAACGAGCACGCCACTCCCCAATCGTCACCTGGCACCCCTCCGCCCTCCACGCCCTTAAACCCAGCACCCGTACCCACAAGGCCATGCGCTCACCCTCGCGTGGATCTCCTCGGCGGTCTCCTTGACGAAGGGGTGCTCCAGCAGCGCGGGCCACGTGAGGCGGTTCTGCGGAACGAGCACGTCATTCCCCCATCGTCACCCAACATCCCCAACCCAGCACGCCCCTGCAGACAGCGCCCATACCCCACGGCCAATCCCTCACCCGTGCGTGGATCTCCTCGGCGGTCTCCTTGACGAAGGGGTGTTCCAGCAGTGCGGGCCACATGAGGCGGTTCTGCGGAACGAGCACGTCACCCCCCCATCAACACCCAGCACCCCCCACCCAGCACGCCCTTTCACGCACCACCTGTACCCACGAGCCCATGCGCTCACCCTTGCGTTAATCTCCTCGGCGGTCTCCTTCACGAAGGGGTGCTCCAGCAGCGCGGGCCACGTGAGGCGGTTCTGCGGCGTCTTGTTGAGCAGCCCGTGCAGGAAGTGCTTGAAGCTCGCGCTCATGGCGTCGGGGTACTTCACCGGGTCCTGCATGGCCAGGTATGGGGGGTTGAGTGAGAGGGAAACGAACGGTTGATGACGTGTCTCTTAATGAGACGCCCGTGCAGGAAGTGCCTGAAGCTCGCGCTCATGGCGTCAGGGTACTTCACCGGGTCCTGCAGGGCCAGGTATGGGGGGGTTGAGAGGGTTTGAGTGAGGGAGTTGAAGTGTTTCAACATAAGCAGCCCGTGCAGGAAGTGCTTGAAGCTCGCGCTCATGGCGTCGGGGTACTTCACTGGGTCCTGCACGGGGACGCATAAGGGGGTTGAGTTGAGAAGCGCCAGGCGAGGGGAAAATGAACTATTGTTGAAGTGTCTCGAATTGAGCAGTCCGCGCAGGAAGTGCGTGAAGCTCGCGCTCATGGCATCGGGGTACTTCACTGGGTCCTGTACCAGTCGGGTCAGGGAATGAAAATTGGTGAGAGGAAGAATGAGAGACGTGAGAAGGGGTAAGTAAGAGGCCTGCAGGACGATACACTCGGATGAGAAAGAGCTCGGATGAACACTGGATATGACAGGCAGTCCCAGGGCTTGCCTTGATGATGTGGTTGATGAGCGTGTAGATGGAGTTGGTGTAGAAGGGCGGCTGCCCCACGTAGAGCTCGTACAGGATGACGCCCAGCGACCACAGGTCCACCGTGTGGTTGTACGGCTGCTCCTGCACCAGCTCTGGTGCCATGTACAGCGGCGTGCCTGCACGGGAGTGAAGGAACACACATGAGGCAAAGGAGAGAAGGATAGGGGAGGAGTGGAGGAGGACGAGTGGGTAACAGGTCCACCGTGTGGTTGTACGGCTGCTCCTGCACCAGCTCCGGTGCCATGTACAGCGGCGTGCCTGCACGGGAGTAGAGGACAGGGGAGGAGTGGAGGAGGACGAGTGGGTAACAGAGGATTATTGAAAGACGCCCAAACAAGCTCCTGCACCAGCTCCGGCGCCATGTATAGCGGCGTGCCTGCACGGGAGTAGAGGAGAGGACGGAAGGAGTGAATGATAGAGGGCACTTGAAGGACGCCCAGCGACCACAGGTCCACCGTGTGGTTGTACGGCTGCTCCTGCACCAGCTCCGGTGCCATGTATAGCGGCGTGCCTGCATGGCGGTGGTGGGAGGACAGGAGGGGAGAAGTAGTAGTGGGTGGCAGAGAATGGAGTGAATGATGGAGAACGAGCCTCAAACGAGCTCCTGGACTAGGTTCATTAAGTCACCATGGTGTTGCACGACATGGCGCACCTTTGATGGATGTGAGCACCATGGTGTTGCACGACATGGCGCGCGCAAACCCAAAGTCGCAGAGCTTGATGATGCCGCCCGCGCCCACCAGGATGTTCTGCGGCTTCATGTCGCGGTGGATGATGCGGTTCGAGTGCAGGTAGTACAGAGCGCGCACCTAACGCGCGCGGATGGGGGAAGCGGGGAGGGGTGAGGGGGAAAGTGGAAGAGGACGACAAAAATGTTTTTAGTGGCGGGAGGAGGTTGTGTGTGAGATGGAGGGGGGCGTGTGGGGAGGGGGGTAGGGAGGAGGTGCGGCAGATTGGCGGGGGGGCGGGGAGAGGGGGAGCACGTAGACGAAGCAGGGAGGGATAAGCTCCTGGGCTGTGCGACATGGACTGGCAATTGGAATTTGGCTGTTCACTATCACTCGATTAGATTTGGCTGTTCATTATGACTCGACAAGCTCTTCATCAATTTCTCGTACCAGTTGCTTGGCGATGACTTGCACTTGGGCCTCGGGTAGCGCCTGGTCGTTCTGCAGGATCTCGAACAGCTCGCCCTGCCGCGGACGGAGATGGCAGGGACGGTCAGAGAGAGGAAATGGGGAAGAGAAGCGCCGGATTAGGAAGGAGGATGGGGATGAACAAGGGGTGCATGTTGCGAGGGAAAGAAGAGGGTGTGGGCGAGGATGTGAGGGAGGCTGGAGGGGAGGCTGGGAGTGACTCTGGGAGGAGGCTGATAGGAGGCTGGGAGGGAGGCTGGAGGAAGGCTGGAGGGAGGCTGGAGGAAGGCTGGAGGGAGGCTGGAGAATGGAGAGCAGGCTGGGAGAGGGGCTGGGGGGAGGCTGCCTCACCTGTGCGAACTCCGTGACGACGCAGAATTCCTGCGGGGTCTCGAAAGCGTCGAGCATCTCGATTATGTTCTCGTGCTTCAGCTTCCGGAGAATCTGATGGGAGATAACGTGAGGAAAACATGGAGACAATACATGCTATTATTAAGGGCTTAATGTTTGGGAATCCTGGTTCAAGCAAAACGGCAAAATGCTCGAATGATCAATCCAGCGGAATGCAAAAAGCAGAGTTGAAGCGGGAATTCTGTACCTCGATCTCCTGCCGTAGGTTCTTTATGTCCCTCTCGCTTTTCCCGTGCTTCAGAATGAATTTCATTGCCGTCATCTGCAGCGAAAGCAGGCCAGAAAGATGAGTCGAGATCCACCTAGCTTCATGACATCTACATCGCCCTGAAGTGTGCTTTCGCGTCTCCTCACCTGGCCAGTGAACTTTCGTCGTCCCTTGTAGACCTTACCGAACGACCCCTCTCCTACTAGTTCTATCACATGGTAGTCCTCCAATCCCATTGTATCAGTGTGTAATCGACGATTGACTATGTCCAGTTAGTCGCATAACTTAGATGTAGCGGTGGATCCGGAAGTAGAGAGCAAGCCTCAGCTTACTCGAGGATCTGACCACGGCCTGTTAGGAATCCTCAGAAGGCGAGATGCAGTTACTACTAACGCGCAACTACGCCTTGTGCGGCCCGACACGATCGCGACAAAAAGCGCGTGCAACCAGAGATATTTGAGAGAGCTATGACACCATGGCCTTCATACAACACCACGCCCATACACCGAACGAATCTTGCACGCTCTGAGCTAAGGAAACACATTATTTTGAACAACTCTTCTGGAAGTCCGTTTTGGGGGACTCAGGGAATGCCGTCGCAGCACAAGCAAGAATCCATGGAATGGGCATGCCATGGTCGCCGCGCAGAATTGAAAATTCCAGTTTGGGTGTGCGTCCACCATCCATGTTTTGGCTCGGAAATGGCCTTGCTTTTGGTTCGGCAGTCGGTGGGAGAAGCTTGCAAAACCGCCCCATTGGTTGCGCCTTGTGGAAACGTACCAGGGTTCCCCGCCAGGCCAGGAAAGAACGGTTCAGAAAAGCGCGGGAAAGTAGCGACTCCGCAGTGGCCTGGTGCAATATTCAAACGTAAACAGCCGTGAATAGCTTGACCAATTGATTTGCACCACAATAGAGCGACTGTAAAAAAATGCTCTTGTAAGTCAATAGAAGATTCCATATCCCTATAGTTAGACGTTAGAGAAATACTAGGCTTCCTACTACATCAATCAATGGCCCCAATTCAGGGTGTTTGGGGGAAACATGAAGCGAACAGTGCTTCACATTTTCCTACGTCAGTTGCAGTCGATGCTACAGCTGCTAATGCCATAATCTGCCCAAACTCATCCATCTTCTTGTTCCTCTCCTCCAGCAGCTCATCGAACCTCTTATCTTCGTCGTCCTTCTCCTCTGCCTCATCCTCCGCATCGTCAATAACAACTGGTTCAGAAGCGTCCACAAACGAGCCTCCCCATTGGCCCAATCTGCGACGTGAAGCGCCAACAGTTGGCACTGGCTCTGTCGGCGCCACATCATCCCACGCCCCACCGCGCATGCTCCTCCTCCTGCCACGCCAAGCCTCCTCAACCTCTCCCTCTCCTGACTCCACCCCCACTTCCCTGGGCCTCTTCTCACCCACCTCACGCATCCCTCCAGCCTGCTCCCTGTCTGGCAGCTGATTCGTGAATGCCATCACCACAGGATCAAACTCCGCTGCCATTACAGCCACCTCCTGCACCCACCGCTCCCCCCCTTTGGCTGCTCCATATCTCTCTTCCCCTGCTTGACACCCACCAAAGGGTCTTGACAAAGAAAAAGCAGGACCACGTGGTACGGCTCTAGAGTGTGACGGTCTTGTGAGACCATTAGCAGCAGGAGCACCAGCTCGAGCACTTTCTTCCTCATTCCTCCTTCCAAAGCCATCAGCTGCCACAGCACCAAGCATCTCAAACCCCGCCTCTGCCGCTCGTGCATCCACCTCATCCTCCCCTTTACCCCCCTCGCACTCCCCTCTTGCATCGCCCTCCCCAGGGGCACCAGGGGGACCCGAACGCCCGCACAGGGCAGCACAGGAGGCCAGGCTGGAGAGTTGAGTGGCATCACAGGTGAAGATCTCCTGCAGCAGCTCCGCATTGCTGGTGTACCGAGCCAGAGCCTCGGCCCGAGCCTGAGCTGCAGCTTCGTCGGCCTCACGGAATCTCTGTAGGCGGAGGTTGTGTGCCCTTGAGGACTCCTGGTGAGAGAGGCGGGACGGGAGATGGGGATACAGGGGGAGCATGTGAGTGAAGGTAACATGAGACTCAGGGCACACTGAGTCCAGAAGGAACACAACCAAAGTGGCATGTGAATCACCCAGCTAGAGGAAACTGGAGACGTAATCACAACACAACAACAAAAAAAGCCACAACAGCAAGAAGATACAAGCGAGCCCATGCATGGAATGGGGAGGTACGCACCGCAGAGCACTGGGACAGCACAGCCTGCAGCGCCTTCATCTGCAGCTTGCGTCTCCTCTGCTTCTCCCTCTCTGCTGCTGCCGCCGCCGCCGCTGCCGCCGCTGCTGCTGCAGCCGCTGCAGCCTTGGTATCAGCAGCGCCTCTCCCCGGCACTGCTTGCTGTGAGCCCACTGCAGCTGCTTTCAACTCTGCGATAGCGCCACCTGGCACAGCGAGACTTCTCTTGATCCCCAGAGATCCAACACCCTGCCCTGCTGGCCCAGGTGCTGCTGACCCAGGTGGTGCTGCCCCAGAGAGGCCAGTGGACGCACCACTGGTTCGGTTCTCAGCCTTTGCTGCCGCTGTGGGGGTCACTTGTGCGGCTGGCCGCTTGGGCAGAGGGGGCGGCGAGGTGAGTCGGGGCAGACGGGAGGAGGAGAGGGCGGGGAGCTCGAGGGGGTTTTGGGACCCAGCCTGTGCTCGCCTTGCTTGCGGTTGCTGCGTCCGCTGCTGTGCCTGTGCCTGTCCCTGTGCTTGTGCATTTCCGTGAGCCTGTGCTTGTGCCTGTGCTTGTGCCTGCTGCTGCATCCGCTGCAGTTGCGCTCTCTGCTGTTGCTGTGGCTTTGGCACTAGCTGCTGCTGTTGCTGCACCTTCCCGTGCTGCTGTGGGACCTGCACTGCCTGCACCTGTCCCTGCACCTGTCCCTGTACCTGCCCCTGTACCTGTCCCTGCACCTGTCCCTGTACCTGCCCCTGTTTCTGCTGCAAAAACCCTTCCACCTGCTGCTGCAACCGCTGCCGTTGCGCATTAATCTGCTGCTGCCCCTGCTGCCCCTGCTGCCCCTGCTGTGCTTGCGCCTGTGTGTGTGCTTGTGCCTGTGCCTGCTGCTGCGCCTGTTGCTGTGCCTGCACCTGTGCTTGCGCCTGAGCCTGTTGCTGAGCCTGTGTCATCCTCGCCTGTGCTTGCTTGGCTGCTGCGCTCATAGGGGGTTTCACCTGCTGCCCTGCTCCCCCTGCCATCCCCCCTCCCCCTGCCATCCCCGCTCCCCCTGACAGCCCCACACCCCCTGCCACGGCAGGCAGCCGCAGCTGCCCACCCCCTTGCGCCTGAGCCCCTGCTGCTGGCGCCTCTGCCGTCCCCTGCCCCTGCGCCTGGATCTGCCCCCGCGACTGCGCCTGCGCTTGCGTTTGTGAGTGCGCCTGTCCTCTAGCCTGCGCCTGCAAAACATTCTGGTTCTGCACTTGTGCCTGTGCAGGGCGGGACGAGTTTGCCACCTGAGACGAGTTGCCCTGCTGGGCCGAGGAGTTAAGGTGTTGCGGAGGGTGCAGCTGATACAGCGGCAGCAACGCAGGGGGCAGCACCTGAGGCTTGGGAACCAGGGGCTTGTGTTGGGAGTGGTTCTGTGCATGCATGGCGGCGCCTTGTTGTTGTTGTTGCTGCTGCTGCTGCTGCTGTATTTGCATCTGCTGCTGCTGTTGAAACGTTTGCGAGAGCAGCTGCCTCTGCTGGGGAGTGAGTTTCTGCAGCAGCTGGTCCTGCTGCAGTGCTCTCTGTTGTGCCACACTAAGCTGCTGGCCCACCTGCGCCGGCGCTGCCTGTTGTGCCTGCCTCAGCTGCTGCTGCTGCTGCTGTACTGGTTGCTGCTGTTGCTGCTGTTGCTGCTGCTGGTGTTGTTGCAGCTTTTGCTGCTGCTGCTGTTGCTGCGGCAACAGCGGCGGTTGAGAATAGCTCTGCTGTTGCTGTGAGGTCTGCGCTTGCTGATGCATTTCTGCCTGCAACTGCTGCTGCTGTTGCTGCTGTTGGGCGCACTGTTGCGCTTGGCGCTGCTGTTGCTGCTGCAGCAACAACGGCTGCAGTTGCTTCATCAGCTGCTGCTGTGTTTGCACCTGCGAATTTCCCTGCTGTCCGTGTTGCCCCTGCTGCTGCTGTTGCTGCTGCTGTTGCGGCTGCTGCCGATGTTGCTGCTGCTGCTGTTGTTGTTGCTGCAGCTGTTGCGGCTGTTGTTGTTGCTGCAGCTGTTGCTGCTGTTGGAGTTGCTGTTGCCGCCGTTGCTGCAGCTGCTGCTGAGCCGCTTGCATGGGCTGCTGCGCCGGTGAAGGGAAGCTTCCCGGAGCCTGCAGCCCCTGCTGCTGCAGAGCTTGCATTTGCTGCGCTGATTGCTGAGCCTGCTGCGGGGATATTCTCGAAGCGAGTGGTGACGTTTGGTGCTGAAGCTGCTGCGGCTGCTGTTGCGCCTGCTGCTGCCCCGCTGCCTGCACTGGCCGAATGGCTATAGGCCTCGGTTGCTGGTGCACGCGCGGCGGGAGGGGGTGCAGCAGCGACGGCTTCTGCGGCGTGTGCTGCTGCTGCTGCTGCTGCTGCGCCTGCGGTTGTGAGTTCTGCTGTTGATTCGGCGTTTGACCCGCCTGTTGCGACTGCATCAATTGCTGCTGCTGTGCTTGGAGCTGTTGCTGCCTTTGAGTTTGCAGCGCCTGCTGCACCTGCTGCGGGGAAGGCTGCGGCGAAGCGGACACTTGACCAGGCGCCAGTTGCGGGGAAGGGGCGGCTTGTAGCGGCGGCTGAGGCGCTACCCGCGCTGACATTACCTGCGCAATCCGCGGAACTCTACCGGGCGCAGGCGCAACTGGCCGCGATGCGGAAGCTTGCGAAATCGCGGGGTTCCCGCTTGCGCCAGATGCGACGGCGGAACTAAATTGCGCTGCTTGATGGTTCGCGGAAATGAGTCCCGCTTGGGGGATAGTCGGGGGGAGAACGGAGGACGGGACGAGGAGGGACGAGGATAAGGGTGGTTGAGAGGGAAGCGTGGAGGCGAGAAGGGAATTCCCTGGTAGGGAGGGATTCGAGTGCCCGTCCATGGAAGTAACCAGATCGAATCGGAGGGATTAGAAGATACCCGATGCTGGTAAAAACGCGACTTCTGCTGTAGCGACGGCTGGCCCGCTTGCCGATTTCGTCGATCTGTCGTCAAATGTCGTTATTCGAACTGCTGCTGCTCGCTAAGAAAAAAACGATCCTTCGTATGCGGCCGTAATCTAGCGACGGCGACGGTCGCGGAGACTAATGCGATCGATCTAACGTGTGCTGCTGAAGGGGCGTAGACCGAAACTACCGGCTATCGTGAACGAAAGGAGAATGCTGACGGTAGAGGCAAGACAACTCCGCGGGGCTAGCTGACTGAAACCACGGATGGTGCTACCCTAATGCGCGACGACTATTATCGGCGACAGAACGTCGAAGAAGAACTACCGCTTTAAACTACGGAGTCTTGGTCTCCAACCTCGCCGCAAATAACGGACCACGATCCACGTGTCGACGACGACGTTCTAGAAGGAACACCTGCGCGAGGACAAGAGAAAACGCAGCAAATGGGAGGAGAAACAGAATGGAAGTAAGCTTAACGTCATGGTTGAGAAACACACGAACAGCATGGCTGAAGCAGCGATAAACTTGTCGTAATTATGCAAGTTAACTAGACGCTAGGGGCCAGTGTTGAGAGTAACCAGTTTATTCCATCGAACAAGTCAAGTGCAGAGACGATAAGAAGACAATAGGAGCAGCGATGGTGAACGGGGGAAACTCGAGGAATAAGAGAGGAAGCAGCCTAAGTCACGGATCATGTTGGTTTGGAACGGTTGACGACTAAAACATCACGAGAGTCGAGACGGCGCAAACCAAGCTAAGCACCTACGCGAGCAATCGATTAGGTCTAAACACCAAGTGCACAGGGATTTGCGGCGGCGAGTTATAAAAGCAGGGAAGCGAACAGGCAAGTGGGGAGAGGTGCTCGATGTTGACTGAACCTGGTGGCTTGGGCGGTTCGAGCCACGTCGGACATGGAGGGTGGAGCACAGCCGTGGGCGTGCGAGTGCGACTGCGAGTGACGAGTGACGATGGAGCGGAGGGAGCGGCAGGCAGAAGCAAGAGGCTATAGCTGAGAACAGCTGCACAAGCAGCAGCGGAACCCTCTAAAAGACGACTGCCTCTTTTTATCTGACAACCCAACCTGCTGCCCACCTTGAGGGTTTTACCGCCTCGATCCATTCCCAAGGCCTGGAAAGTTTCGGCTGAGACGTTGGAGATGGGTTCTCGGCCGTCGATAGAGTTTCGACCTGCCCGAGGGTCTTGACATCTACAGTGATCGGCGAAAAAGCGCCCAGCTCGTTGGAGTGAATATCCGTCAGGTCGTGGATGTGTATTCTTCGCATTGTTCGTTTGTTACCCGATCACCTGCACTGAAGGATTGTTGACTGAACATGGAATCTACAATATGACATAACTTCTGCTAAAAACATTCACTAGGGAGGTGTCTCTATGTCAGGTTAGATGGATAGCACAACATACCAGTGCAGATAACATAACAATAACATACACTAACATATTTCCTGTTGGACTGCAGTGCCAGAACTTATTGTTTCAACCTTATCGTGTTATCTACGTGGAGGGGCCAAAAATCCCAATGCGTCATATGTGTCCCTTAGTGTGCGGTCAGCAATCTCATTGGCTCGTGCTGCTCCCCCTGCCAGGACCTCATCCAGATATGCTGCATCTGCTGTCACCTCCTCGTACCGTTTCTGGCAAATGCAAGAGAGAAGGGGGGGAAGTGAGAGGGGTGGGGCGGAGCGGAGGGGTAAGATGAAAGCCGAACGACCTCTGGTAAAAAAATAGAAAGTAGGCAGGAGAGTGCTTAATAGAACTAGTGGACACATGGCTTGCCTGGATTGGCTCTAGGTGAGCGACAAGGGCGTCTGCTAGCAGCGGCTTGAACTGCCCCCAGCTCAGCGCCGCCACCTCCTGTTGCACCTCCTGGCTTGCATAGAGGCGGTTGGGCCACAAAAGAGGAGGACAGGAAGAGGGGAGAGAGTAAGAAAAGCGAGGCATGGGCATGGGTCGTAGAGAGTGGCCCAGGCTTTAAAGCGAAGGAACACATCTACATAAATGCCCGTGTAAAATTAAAGGCAGTGCAATGCCGGATGCTCCCGTTTGTTAGCTCTCCAATCACCCTCTCCCATCTCCGTTTCCTCTCTCATTTCCACCCTCGCCCCCATCCGTTCCCCCTTCCTGTTCCTTGCCCTTGCCTCTGCCCTCTGGGCTGACCTCCTTGGTTCTCCCGGTGACGATCTGGTAGATGGACAGCAGGTTCTGGCACTCGGGGCGCTCCGGATTGCCAAACTCCATGCTGAGAAGGGGGGGGAGGTGAGCGAAGAGGTGCCAAAGGGAGTGGTGTGAGGAGGGAGGGGTGCAGTGAAGTGAGGAGGAAGATGAAGGTGCGCCTGAGAACAGTGCCTGAGTGTCGTGAGTGGACAGAGGGTGCGGAAAATAGGGAACCTGAACGTCACTCCCTCCTCCTCCTTTATTCCCCTCTGGCTTGTTCCGCTCTCATCTTTCCACTCTTCCCCATCAGAACAATGGCTGCTCACCCCATTCCCCTTTCTCACCCCACCACCCTCCTTCACACCACCACCAACCACCCTCGCTGACTGACAGCAGCCAACCTCCCTCACCCTGTGAAGCTGTCAGTCTTGCAGCGCTTGATCTTGTTGGCTATCACCTGCTCGGCACGGCGGCAAGGGAGGGGAGGGAGGGTACATTGAGGATCACAGGCTAGGAGTGGTGGAGGAAGAATCGGGAGGAGAGAAGAAAGGATGGGAGCACGGGAGAAGAGGACAGGACATGGAACGAGAAGGAAATGGCAGTAATGGGATGGGAAGAGAGCAAACGAGGGATACAAGTAGGAGAGGTGGAGGAGAGAGGGCGCACTTCTGGGGGGTCGAGCAGGTTGATTCGGGACATGTCAGATGGGGCAGACTTGGACATCTGCATGCACAGTGGTGCAGTGGCAGGGGATGGGACACGAGGGCGGAGGTGAGAAGGGCGTTATGAACAGAATTTAAACGCACGTGGCATGAAAATGGGATACTGATGGCACATGAAGAAGGGTACGGGCAGGATTACAAATGATTTCGCATAAAATGAATCTGTGAACTTGCAAAGAAAACTGCTGATGTGGAAATGAAAGGAAGGGGCAAACATAGACAGTCGGACTGTTTACCTTGGAAGTGCCGTCAGTGAGAGACATGATGCGAGCACCAGCAGGGGGTATCATGGCTTCTGGCACCTTGAACACCCTGCCACCCCGCCTGTGCACACGAGGAAAGCAGAGAGGCAGCAGTAAAGGGGGGAGGAGAAGCCACATCACTGTTCACAAGGCAGCCTTGCGGAGCAGCATGCTTGGGGCATGCAATCCACATGTGGGTGTGCAGTGTTGAGAAGGATCATGAACACACGCAGGGTTGTGGCTTATAGCGAAGGGCCACATGCATGTGTGTGTGCGCTAAGAGGTCCCCATGGTAAGAGCTCCATGCATGTGTGCAAGGACTTGGAGGCGTACCCTCCGCGCTTCTTCCACTTGCGGCCGCCGTAGAGGTTGTTGATCCGCGCTGCCACATCCCTGGTGAGCTCCAGGTGCTGCCTCTGGTCCTCGCCCACTGGCACCACGTCACACTGTGCATGGACGACACGCATGGTATGCATGCATGGGACGCATGGCAAGGGAAAGAAACTTAAGAAATTGAGTAACACGCCTGGAGACACACCCAGGCAGAAATTTTACACGTGACGAAGAACCTGAGCAGCGGACTAGCACCTGGAGAAGCACCTGGGAAACGGAGGCGAACCTGGTATAGGAGGATGTCTGCCGCCATGAGGAGCGGGTAGGTGAGCAGCCCTGTTCCCACGTCCTCGCCCTGAACGCATGGAGAGGGACGCAGTGAGAGAGGGTGCGGACATAGGGGGTGCAGGGCGACAGGAAGGTTGGAACTGGTGTGTGCTGACAGGTGCCATCCGAGCCAAGAGGATTCTCACAACAGAAGATGCACTGGCAAACACTGCCCACAGTGGTGACTGCACAGGATGCAAGTCCACGGCTGTGCATTCTCACCACTCTGCACGCTTCTCCTTGAACTGAATCAGCCACGACATGATGACTTTTGAGTCGACTCAAAACTCAATCGACTCAAGACTCACCGCCTTGCGCGCCTTCTCCTTGAACTGAATCATCTTGTTGAGCCACGACATGGGCGTGGTGCACGACAGCAGCCACGTCAGCTCCGCGTGTGCGCGCACGTGCGACTGCACAAACACGGTCGCCTTGGATGGGTCCACCCCGCACGCCAGGTACATGGCTGCTGCCGTGCGTGATGAGCGTGAGAGGTCATCCACGTCATGGGGTAGGGTGATCTGTGGTGCGGTGCGGTGCGGGCAGGCAGGGAGGGGTCAGAGCAGGTTGATACAAAATGTTTCATGGCTCCACAAGCACCGTCGCCTTGGACGGGTCCACCCCGCACGCCAGGTACATGGCTGCTGCTGTGCGCGACGAGCGTGAGAGGTCGTCCACATCGTGGGGTAGGGTGATCTGCAAGCGAAGGAAGGAGGAATGGAATGATTACGAGGTGGAAATAGGCGTGAGACTTGATGAGGGAAGAGAGAAGGGGACGATGACGAGGGAGAGGAAGAAGCGATGGCGAGTAAGAATGAGGGCGTGGGATGGGGAGTGAGGAATCTAGCTAGACAATGCGGGTAGGGAGTCCTGGAATAAGAGGCGAGAGCAGCAGGCAGGGATGATGATGCAACAGATTTTGCAAAGAGAACCCGTTTGACGCGCACATCATAGAAAGGAGGTGTGTGTAGCAGCACTTACTGCGTGCAGGTCGACCACGAAGAGGAAGGTGTCACACTCGTCCTGCACTCACCCACACACACGAGCATTGTGGCATGCGCATGATATGTCATACCATGCCGTGTCACGCCACGTCACACCATGGCATAGCAATAAGGGAGAGAAATTTATGGAGTTCTGCAGTCAAGACACACCACGCAAACATGATCAGAGGTACAAACGTTGTCATTGCGGAACAGGGAAGTTTTCATAATGAAGTTAACTCCTGTATACTCCATTCCTTCAGGCTCCAGCTAATGGCTGACGCACCTGCAGCGGGATCCAGTTCTTGATTGCGCCCAAGTAGTTTCCTAGATGAATGCTTCCCGTCGGCTGGACGCCTGAAACGAGACGCTTTCTGAAGAGTACAAACGAGAAGGAACAAGCGGAGGAGCAAAATGCGGGGCAAACCAATTCATGCGGAACGAATAACTCATGCGCAAGGCTCAATCCGGTATCAAACCAATTCAGATACAACGGTTCACCAGACGACCCCAAAGCAGCAACCCAGGCGGATTTCGAGAATTCCTAGAAAACCGGCTGTTCTTTTGCCACGTGCTGAAGCATTGCCTGCAGCCGACCCACCCCAGCGGCCTTCGCTCGCTCACCTCACAGCAGCTTTCCCCTCGCTCGACCCTGCTCCGCCAGCCTCGGCCGAAACGGACGGCTCAGATGCTCCTTTCGCGGGAGATGCCTCTGCGACGGACACGCCGCTGCTTCCGCCCTCCGCGCTCGACGCCGCTGCTCTTATCGACGAGTAGAGGGTTCTAGAACCGGCTGATTTGAGGGTTACGGGGGTGTGGCGTGGAACAGGGGTTATGGACTGTGCGGATGAAAGGAACGGTCTAGACGATAGTAGGAGAGACTGATCGTACGGTGAACGTGAAAGCCGTGAAACTAATCTTCTAGGCGACGACGTTAATGCGACAGTGGCAGGCGACAGTGATGTGGCTGCCGATTTGATTGCTCCGAGACGGAATGGCGAGCGAAGCGCAATCATGGCTGGCAAGCGGTGAAGCCGGCCAAGAACAAGAATTCAGTGCAAGAAATGTAGCTCCGATCGCCTCCTAGCCTAACGATGCTGAAGCAGCAAACGCCTAGATCACTTTTGCTAGAGAAAATGCCGTCGAGGCTCCCAAGGCTGTTCGCACAGCGAGCGACACAACATGTACGTCGCAGGAGCTCCTAACGCGACCCAGCATTGGGATTGTGCGCCACTAATGAGATTGTGCTGGTGGGCCATTCGCCCACGTGTCAATCCATGTGACCACATTTTGCGTCCGCGACATAGAGGGAAACCACAAGTGAAACGAGCACATGCTGTATTTGATTCATGAAATGGCCATTACCAATCTGTGCTGCCTAATTGTGGAGTTTTGCAGTAAAAACAACAAAGCCTGAGCTGCAACTATATACATGTAAAAACAAACTTGAAAAAAAAGCTGAAACAGTTAGGGAAACTTTGCACCAGGCATGCGATTGGACTAGACGCGCGATTGGACCAGGCGCACGATAGGACCAGGCGCGCGATAGGACCAGGCGCGCGATAGGACCAGGCGGCGGCGCGGCGAAGGAGAATAGGGCCGCCAGGATTTTGCGAGAAGATGGAGTCGTGGCCATCTATAAGCACCATGATTGCCTCCACTATTGCTGTTTGTGCTTGTGTTGGCTCCTCTTCCAAAGGGATCTCTGCATGCCACCCAGTACACAAACGCACTGTAACAGACAATACACCAATCGAGCTTCCGAATGCAGAAATCGAAAATCACCACAACTGCTGGCCCATCAGCAGCAGGAGAATGTGCCAGCTCACCAGGAACAGACGACTCTCCATTCGCCTCCACGACTGCTGGCCCAGCAGCAGCAGCTGCACTCGGTCCATCTCCCACCCTCATTTCCTTCTCACTCTGAGCCCTCCTCATAGCAGGACTCTCCATACTGTCCGCACCACCCCCAGCACCGCCGCCACCAGCAGCAGCAGCAGCATCACAGCAACGGCAGCACTGCCGTTGGGAGTCAAAGCAGGAGGAGATGAGGGGGCCATTAGACTCGGTACGTCCCCACTCACCCTCCCACTACCACCAGGAGCACCGCCCCTCCCGTGCTCTTGCTAATACTGATTTTATCCATCCCACTGCTACTATCCCCAACATCCCCTGCTGCTGCTGCACCTGCTCCTCCTGCGCCTTCCCTGGTTTCGTCTAGACTTAAGGAGGAGAGGGAGGGGGAGCGGGCAGTTGAGGAAGGGGGCTTGGAGGAAGGGGAGGAGTCAAAAGGGCCAGAGGCAGAGGAGGCGTGGGGGGAGGGGGAAGGGGATGGGGATGGGGACGGGGACGGGGGGACCTCTGGTCGCGGCCAGAGCAGGACTGGGGCGAATTCGGCAGCTAGGCTATGAGCGTCCATCTGGGGAATAGGAGGGCGTAGGGAGGGAGGGAGTGGAAATGTGGTTTTTGAAGTGCTTTTATGAGACGTTTTATCAGCTGTAACTCGGACGTTATCACCCCAGACACCACAAAGAACTCAACCCCTCCTCTCCCCGCCCCTCACCTGTTCACATCGGCGTGCAGGCTGACTCGGTACAGCAGGCACAGCACAGCATGCAGCGTCTCTAGATTCACAGTGTGTGCAGCAGTCGCCTGAGCTGCGTGACGTCGCTGCTGCCGACCGCGGCGACGCCAGGGAAGAGGGCGAAGGTCATGAGGGGCTCGGGGAGGCACTTGAGGTATACCAGCAGCAGCTGCCCCACGTCTAGGGGACTGGTGTCTGGTGGAATGTCCGCATTGGGGTCTGGTTCCATAGGGGTTGGATGCGGTGGAGAGTGGAAGAGTGGGAGAGGGGGAGCAGGGGAGCAGGCAAGGGGAGAGCGGGGTGGAGATGAGCTGGCAGCGGGGTGGGGACGAGGGGAGATCGGGGAGAATTGAGCAACAGAGGGGAAATGAGGGATGAGTGGTAATAAGATGAGATGAAAGCGAGGGGTTGGGGGGGGGGGGGGGGAGGGGAAATGGAGGGGAGATGAGATGACAGCGGATTGGGACGAGGGGAGAATTGAGCAAAGAGCAGAGGGGAAACGAGGGATGAGTGGCAACGAGATGCGACAAAAGCGGGAGGAAAAGAGGGGGGGGGGGGGGGGGGGGGGGGGGGGGAGGGGGGGAACGAGGAAAGAGCGGGGAGGCGGAGGGGGGGGGGGGTGGGGGGGGGGAGAGGAGGTGGGGGAAGGGAGGGGGAAGATGGGGAAAATTGAGTGAAGAACAGAGGAGACATGAGGGGTGAGTGGTAAGGAGATGAGATGAAAGCGGGGAAAAGAGCGGGGACGGGGGAGGGGGGGGAAGGGAGGGGGAAGATGGGGAGAATTGAACTAAGAACAGAGGGGAGATGAGGGGTGAGCGGTAAGGAGGTGGGGACGGAGCGGACAAGCCGAGGGAACGAGGGGATAGCGGAAGAAGATGAAAAATACCCTCCCAACCCAACCACACCCAACCGAAATCCCGCCACCTCTCCTCTTCTCTCCCCTCCCCCCTCCCCCCTCCCCCCCCCCTCCCCCCCTCGCCCCCCAAACCTCCCTTACTGTTCTCCTTACCGTTTTTTACGTCTTGCGTCGTAACCGTCCGGTTCAGTCCGGTTCAATGTGACTTCTCTTGATCTCCTAAGGACATCGAATAGGCACCGAAGGTATTAACGCGTCCGCGAATGTCGGCAATGTCCGCAAATCGATACTGGAAATATGTCCGCAAATCGATAATGTGCTTACACATCTATGTGTCCGCGATTGAAACTAATCCGTGCGCAAACGAACGAACATGAATCGTACGACTGGCTACAGTACAAACATCCGAAGCACGACAGTGGCGACATTGAAGCTAGCGATACTTACTTAGTACGTACTTACTTTGGCGGCTCCTTTTGTGCCCGAATATTAGTCTACGGCTAATAAACGCGACTGACACTATCTACGGTGCCAAGCCCTAATTTACGCTTAGATCTGAGAAGCCACGCGGGATAAAAACCAGAGAAGCTGTAAAGCTTAGATCTAACAGCGATTGCAAACCTAGAAACGCTAGACGCGACAGGCAGAGGTGAATCACGGAACGGAACTCAAGTAAGGACGTGAGGAGGTTGATAAAGCACGGTGGTGGTTGTGCGAAGATGACCAAACCACCTCATTTCCTATTGGCTCACGGAATTTTATCCCAACCACACCTCCACATTTCAGCTGTCCGACCCGAACCTGGTTCCAGGCAGCAAATGGGGTTGTGAAAGCAGATAAACTTGGTGACAGCTCAGCAAAAAAATATTCCTTCCTACACCATCCCCCGCACCTTACGCAAACCTAACCAGGAACTTCCACGTCAGCTTTCTCCTAGAAACTTCATTTCTGCCCTTCCCCAAAGCTGCCCTTCCCCAAAGCTGAACCTGTGAAGAATACACGCGCACACCTGCAGAAACACAAAGCAAACCAAACTCAATGAAAGTGTTCAGATGTGTATTACGATTGAGTTTGGATGTGTTGTGCACTGTATTCATTTCAGCCACCACAGCTTACCGCGGATACAATTCTCCAGGGTCATCCATTCAATTCCAACCTTTGGCACTTCTCTCCCGCCTGACTCTGGCACTTGTCCCCGCTTGCACTCTGGCACTTCTCCCCGCCTGCACTCTGGCACAGACGGAGCTGCCGTGTCGCACCTCACTCCAGCCAGCAACTCATCGCGTTTGAAACTGAGGCGCGCTCTGCCGCGCGTGGCGGCCATGGTGGTTTTAAATCGATTTTTGTTTATAGACAAGAGTCGTGAACAGCAATTAAGATTTATAAAATAAAAGTCATTTACATTCTAAAAAGCAAGCATCACTATGTGCTAAACTACTCCATCTGCAGAACCGCAGCGCCAAGTGTTGAACAACTTCATCTTCAGAACCGCTGCCGCCAAGAGTTGAGACACTCCTTCTTCAGAACCGCGCCGCCGCTTGAACTGTTGTCATGTCTTGTCACTTACCATTTGACCCCTCTTGGCCGCTAGAGGCAAATGCCTCTAGCGTTACACCCAAACACCGCGATGAGGTGGAGGTCATTCGTTTGGGGAAACCTGCTTGGGAGGGGAGGGATGGGAGGGAGGGATGGTTGGGAGGGACGGGTTGACGGGTTGACGGAATGAGGAAGGGTTAGAGCTTGATCGTGTGAAAACGCCTCAGGAAGTACCATTTTCTGTTGTCAGGTTGTCAGGTTGTCAGGTTGAGCAGCAGTGAAGATGGCGGTCTGAGGAGGAAGAGGAGGTATCCAACCAAACCCAACCACCCCCTCCGACTCTAGCTCCCTTAATCTACCCAACCACCCCGACTTTAGCTCCCTTAATCTACCCAACCACCCCGACTCTAGCTCCCACCACCTTACAGATCGTAAGCCGCTGGTTCTTCACGCCGCCGTACCTGAACATGGGAGGGGTAATGGGGGAGGGGGAGAGGTGGAGGGGGGGAAAAGGGGGAATGAATGGGAGGGGGAAGTAGTCAAACTCCAGCGTCGCTCCTCGCTCCGCCGCTCCGTCGCTCCTCCGCGTGGTCGCTCCGTCGCTCCAACGCTCCGCCGCGCCGCCGTTCCGCCGCTCCGCGGATCCGCCGTTCCGCCGATCCTCTGATCCGTCGCTCCTCCGCTCCTCCGCTCCTCCGCTCCGCCGCTCCGTCGCTCCTCGCTCCGTAGCTCCCGCTTCCGCTCCTTGTTGCTCCTGCTAAAATAAAACAGAAGCAAACAAGATAGTTAGTAAATGTGAAAATATGAAGAATAACAACTGAAACGAGCACATTACCGTGAATCGCCGTTGCTGCTCCCCGCTCCCGCTCCCGCCGGTCCCGCTCCCGCTTCCTCTCCTCCTGTTCCTGCTTAAAAAAAAACAGAAGCAAACACGGCATTAGCAAGCGTGAAAATATGAAGAATAACAACTGAAACGAGCACATTACCGTGAATCGCCGTTGCAGCTACCCGCTCCCGCTCCCGCCGGTCCCTCTCCCGCTTCCTCTCCTCCTGTTCCTGCTTAAAAAAAAAACAGAAGCAAACACGACATTAGAAAGCGTGAAAATATGAAGAATAACAACTGAAACGAACACATTACCGTGAATCGCCGTTGCTGCTCCCCGCTCCCGCTCCCGCCGCTCCCGCTCCTTCCCGCTCCCGTTGCCGCTCCCGCTCCTGCCCGTTCCTGTCTAAAAACGAAAAATAAAACACGGTAGTAAGTAAACGTGAAGTAGAAAAAAAGTATAGACTGAAACGAACACTTTACATGGGCTTGACGTTGGTCGTTCACGCGGTCGTTGACGGTGGTCGTTGACGGTGGTCGTTGACGGTGGTCGTTGACGTTGGTCGTTGACGTTGGTCGTTGACGTTGCCAAGAGCCGCGCCATGGAGGAAGCAACGGACCGCTTTGCTAACTGCCGAAATACAACGAACACGGTCAGCAAAAACCGAGATGAAGACAAAGCGAGCGACAAGCGAAAAACATCAAAGCCTTACCGAGTTGCAGCCGAAGTCCCACTTGCGAAGGTCAAACCTCCATCATCGCCGCGTGATCCGCCATTGTAGCGACGCATCGCGGTCGCAAAGAAGGGAATGCGAAGGAAAACTTACCTCCACGCGAGTGAGGAGCGACGATGAAGGCGAATCTGAACTTACCTTCAACGCGAGTGAGCGTCGGAAGCGAGGAGCGAAGTTCAAGGAAATAAAAGATTTGAACTTACCTCGAGGGAGAGAAGGGCCTCGCGGCAAGGGAGAGAAGGGCCCGCAGCGGGAAGGACTACACGGGTGGCGGAAAGAAGGCTTCCACGGTTGAAGAAGGTCCACACGGGATGAAGAAGGCCCACACGGGATGAAGGCCCACACGGGATGAAGGCCCACACGGGATGAAGGCCCACACGGGATGAAGACGGCCCACACGGGATGAAGGCCCACACGGGATGAAGAAGGCCCACACGGGATGAAGGCCCACACGGGATGAAGGCCCACACGGGATGAAGGCCCACACGGGATGAAGACCCACACGGGATGAAGGCCCACACGGGATGAAGGCCCACACGGGATGAAGGCCCACACGGGATGAAGGCCCACACGGGATGAAGAAGGCCCACACGGGATGAAGGCCCACACGGGATGAAGGCCCACACGGGATGAAGGCCCACACGGGATGAAGAAGGCCCACACGGGATGAAGAAGGCCCACACGGGATGAAGGCCCACACGGGATGAAGGCCCACACGGGATGAAGGCCCACACGGGATGAAGGCCCACACGGGATGAAGACCCACACGGGATGAAGGCCCACACGGGATGAAGAAGGCCCACTCGGGATGAAGGCCCACACGGGATGAAGAAGGCCCACACGGGATGAATTCCCACACGGGATGAAGGCCCACACGGGATGAAGAAGGCCCACACGGGATGAAGGCCCACACGGGATGAAGGGCCACACGGGATGAAGGCCCACATGGGATGAAGAAGGCCCACACGGGATGAAGGCCCACACGGGATGAAGAAGGCCACACGGGATGAAGAAGGACCACACGGTTGACAGGAAGAAGACCCACACAAGGGTCTTGATTTCTTCCAGTGATGAAAAATGAACTCAAGTGATGGTACTTGTGTACGTTTCTTAGCTCACAGGAAAGGATGATTGATTGAACAAGTCGCGAGCAGAAAGGTTTCGGAAGGAAACGGAGAAGGAGATGAGTCAGGGGATCAGGCATCGGTTCTGGTTTGTGTTTGGCGCAGGCCGCCGCGCGTGGCAGAACGCGCGTCTTGTTCGAATTTGATGCGTTGCTGCTGGTTGCAGCGGGGTGCGATACGGCAGGTTCTCCTGGGTCAGAGTGTGGGAAGTGTTGGTATTGGCTGTTGGATTTACTCGATGGTGGTGGAGATATCTAGTTGCTATCAACGGTGGAGATTTTCGAGATTGGGATGGTACAGTTCATGATGACTGTACTGTGGGCCCACATAGATACTGTAATGTCAGTGAGGCGGCTGAAATTGGATCTGCTCTCCACACGCGCAAACTCGATTGCAGCACAATCTGAACAGTGTCAAGTTCACACGTACAGTTCACTGCTCTGCACATGTAGAGTTCACTGCTCAGTTATTACATGTTGAGTTTGAATTCATTGTGTTGCTGCAATCGAAACGTCTCAAGGCGCGTATCATCAACGCACAGGTTTGTGCACAAGTTCGTGGCTGGGATAGCTAGGAACTTTCTAGGAGGAGGCTGACGTGACGCGCAAATAGTTAAGTTTTGCGTGAGGTGCGGGGATGGTGTAGGATTGGGGCGAAATTTATTTTTGGCTTGACTTTGCGAAGTTGGCTGCTGTAGCAACCCCCTTGCCTGCCAGTGAACCAGGTTCGGGCAGCTGAAATAGCGAGGGGTGGTTGGGATAAAAAGGCACGCGAGCCAATAGAAATCGCGGGTGCTTCCGTCTCAGTCACACTACCAACCACCACCCCAGCAGCTCTCGCTCGCACCTACTACCTGCAGTTCTGTGAAGCACCTTATTAGCGTTCAGTTCAGTCTTTACCTTTCCAGCACTTCAGTTCAGTCTGTTAGATCTAATACTTGGTTGACAACTCGCATGGCTTCCCGGATCGCGCAAGTTAATACTTAGCACCGTAGATAGTGTCAGTTGCGCTTATTAGCCGTAGTCTGATAGTAGGCGCTTCACGTAGTGAAGTAGGAATTGCCATTTGCGTGCTGCAGATGTTCGTACAGTAGCCAGTAGTACGACTTTTTTTGGTGGATGCATTGCGGCCCCCGAGTTGTAATGTTTATTTGCGGTTGGATTATAGCGTCGATTTGCGGGCATATTAAGACCATTTGCGCACACATTATTAGTATCGATTTGCAACTTGTTGATTCCATAGATATGTGAGCACTTACCATGCGGACAGCACTGATAGTTTCGGTTCGTAGGCGCGTGAATAGCGTCGGTATTGCCGGCTATTCGATGTCCTTAGGCGATTAAGCGAAGGCACATTTCTTTGGATCGCTCACACGCAAGGCATTAAAGAAAGGGAAAGGAGAAAGGTAAGCGGGGTTGGTGGGATGCGGGGGAGGGTGGGGAAGGACATTTTCTCATCTCTCCCCGCTCTCCCCTCGTCCCTCGCTCCCCCCGCCCCCCTTCTCTCTTCCCTCACCGCTCCCCCTCATCCCCCCCCGCTCTTCCCTCATCTTCCCCAACCCTCTGCTCGTCTCCCCCCCGCTCCCCTCTTCTCGTATCCCACTCACCCCTCATCACCTTCTTCTCGCCCACCATCATCCTCTTCCCCCCGCCTCCTCACCGCTACTCTCATGTCTCCTGCTTTCTTCCGCACTCCCCTGCTCTCTTCCGCCCTCCCTTCATTTCTCATTCCCCCCCACTCTCCCCCCCTCATTCCGCTCTCACCCACCCCTCATTCCCCCCTCACTCATCCCTTTTCCCCCCCATTTACCCCACCTTTATTCCTCTCTCTTCATCTCCCCTCTGCCCTCTCTGTCGACTCCCCCCCCTCCTTCCCCCCCCAAGTTACCCCTTATTCTCCCCTCCCCTCCCCCCCCTTCCCTAGCTCCTCTCATCCTCCTTTGTCCCCAACCCGCCCTCCCTCCGCCGTCATCTCCACACCCCTGGTCACCCCTCATTTTCCCATCCCTCATTCCCCTCCCCTTTCCCTCCCTTCAACCTCCAGGAACTTACCTCTCATCACACCTACCCCTTACTGTTCGACTGCCTTACATCTCCCTCTCAGCTTCACACCCCCCTCCCTTGTCATCTCCAGGCCTGGTCACCCCTCACTTTCTCATCCCTCATCCCTCCCCCTCCAGCAACTTACCTCTCATCACACTTACCCCATACTGTTCCGCTGCCTTACATCTCCCTCTCAGCCTCACACCCTCCTGACTTCCTCCCTTTGCCGCTGCCTGTATGTTCCCTCAACCTCCCTCTACCTTCAGTACCTACCCAGGCTCCTCCTGGCCAACCCAACTGACACTGACCCTGGCCTTTCTGAATTGCCTCTGTGAATCCCCTTTGTGACTTGCCTTTGCAGCACAGGAGGCGATTCTTCTTGTTTGCCTTGTTGCTGGTATTGATTGCCTTGGTAATCAAGCCAATAGATCCCTGCCAATAGATCCCTGCCAGTATTGCTTTCTCTAATGTGTACCCTACCGATTTTCATACAATGGTCGCTTGCACTATGCCTTTCTTCTCCTCGCTGTTTCTACGTTTTATGGTGTTGCACTTGTGACAAACAATTCAAATACCATATGAAGCCACTGCCAACTAGTGTCTTTGGGCGTGTTCCTACGCCTCTCTTAGAATCAGGGATGCAACGGAATGGATTGACTAGGATGGGAGTAAGGTACAAAATGTGCAAAACCTAAACAATGTACCCTCTAGTAGGCAACTCACTGCAGCCTATTAGAAATGCTAACATTTGACACACCCCCATAGGCTAAGTGAGGGGCCTCATAGCAAGCAAGGTGAACAAACGGTCACAAGACCAGTCAAGATAAGAAGCAAAACAAGCTCAGGGTGGATCTCAATGACACCACACAAATTCCGAGCACAAGCAAGCGGCCACAAGGCCAGTTCAAGAGTTCACTAGGATATAAACAGGAAAGCACAACAAACAGAGCAAGCAACAAGGCTACAGCAACCGAGGGCCTACCTCAACAAGCCCCAACTGCACACAGAACCTGTGGTGGTCACCAAGCGCCAAGGCCTTGGTGAAGACGTCTGCAGTGTTGGCCTCTGAGGCCACAAAGTCCAGGCGTGCCTGGCCGCGTCGCTGCAGCTCTCGCAGGAGGAAGTACCTCACGTCAATATGCTTCACTCTGCTCTCCAGTCGAGGCTCTCGACACTGGAGGATCATGGCCTTGTTGTCAGCGTACAAGGTCGGTGCAGAGCGAGGCCGCTCACCAAGATCGGCGAGCAAGAAGGTCAACCAGCGAAGCTCCTGCGCCGCCATGGCACCAGCGTAGATCTCTGCCTCTGCACTGGAAGTAGCCACAGACGACGACCGTGTAGACCTCCACGACACAGCACCAGTTCCCAGACTGAAGCAGTAACCCTGAGTCGAGCGCTGAGTCTCCACGTCGTCAGCGTAGGAAGAGTCACAGTGACCAGTCAACGTCACTGGCTGAGTCCCTCCAAGCACAAGCCCCATGCTTGATGTAGTCGCCAGGTACTTCGCCACCCTCACAGCAACTGTCCAGTGGACAGGACGGTATCTCCCAGTCGCAACAAAGCGAGAAAGGATGCTGAGGGGAAAGGCGAGGTCTGGCCGAGTACAAGTCATCAGGTACATGAGGCAGCCCACCAGCTCTGCGTAGGGGCCACTGGACTCAAAGGGCTCGTCAGGAAAGGGGCCCGTGAGTCTGTGGTCAACAGCAAGAGGAGTGGGCTGTGTGGTGGAGAACTGGAAGTCGAACCGCCGAAGGACCTGCTGCACCATGTGTGACTGCGTCAGTGTGATGGTGCGAGCGGCTCTGTCCCGGGTGATCTGCAGGCCAAGGTAGCGCTGCAGCTCACCCAGGTCAGTGCACTTGTGTCTCTTCTGCAGTTCGGACTTCACCTGAGCCAGAGCTGCCCTGTCTGCTGTAGCAAAGACCAAGTCGTCGACGCAGACAAGGATAAAGAAAGGAGTAGAACCCGCTCGAACAAACAGCGACGGGTCGGCGGAGGACGGGCTGAACCCAAGGTCACGAAGCGTGGAGCGAAGAGTGTCGTGCCACTCACGGGGCGACTGGCGGAGACCGTAGACTGGTCGCCTCAGGCTCCACTAGGTCCCAGGTGGGAAGGTGTCAGTGAAGCCGGGAGGACGGCGCAGCCAGATCTCCTCGTGTAGCCGGCCCTGGAGAAACGCAGTGGAGAAGTCGAGGGAGTGCAGCTCGTAGTCTCGCTGCGCTGCTATGTGGAGTAATACCCGAAGAGTAGTCATCTTCGGGGTCGGGGCGAAGGTCTGGAAGAAGTCAACTCCCTCACGCTGACTGAAGCCCCTAGCCACGTAGCGCGCCTTGAACACCGGCGGTGCTCCAGGCGGCCGCTTCACCTTGAAGAGCCACATGCCATCGACTACGTTCGCCCTGGGAGGGGGAACTGCGTCGACGTAGGTGCCTGTGGATCTCCAAGACGCCAACTCTGAGTCCATAGCCGCTTTCCACTGAGAGGCCCACGCCCCTGACACTGCCTCGCGGTAAGTGCGAGGAGTCGGTATGTCAAGGGCGTCGGGGTCTCCCTCAGGGGAGAGCAGCATGGCACACACAGAGGGAGAAGCGGCTGCCCAGTACTCCAGCTCAGACTCTCTGTCCTCTAGGACGTCACAACCAAGGGCAAACTCACCCCCGACGGACAGAGGACGGTAGGGAGGAGCTGGCACCACACGGGTGGCGTAGTCAAGGCGGCTGGCGGCAGCAAACTCAGCGACAGCGGCAGTAAGAGCAGAGACAGACGACGGAGGGAAACGAGAGTCGATGACAAGAGTGGCGAGGACACGTGCGGCAACAGGACGAACAGTGCGGTAGTAGTCAGTGATAGGAGTGGGGAGGGCTGGGAGAGAGGACGGAGGAGGAGACGGGAGAACGGACACAGGAGAAGGAGGACGACGACGAGACGTACAAAGGAGGGCAGTGTGGAGGTCAGTAACAGGGGACGAGTGACGAGCACGTGGAGGACAACGAGTGATCAAGTCGTGACGGACCGAAGGAGGAGGAGACTGAGGAGGAGGAGAAGACCAGACCGCCGGACGGTCGTCAGGAGGAGGCAACGGAGGACCCACAACAGGAGGAGACTGGGAGCGGACAGGAGGAGAGGAGGAAAAGCCAAGGGCCCGCAGGCCACTCACAGGTGGGAACAACTGCCGCTCTAGAGGAAGCTGCGGCGGCGGCTGCGGCTGCGGCGGCGGCTGCGACTGCTGCTGCTGCAGCTGCGGCGGCGGCTGCGACTGCTGCTGCTGCTGCTGCTGCTGCTGCTGCTGCTGCTGCTGCTGCTGCTGCTGCTGCTGCTGCTGCTGCTGCTGCAGCTGCTGCTGCCTCTGCCACTGCTGCTCCAGCAGGTCCAGCACCCGCAGCTCCTGTTGCTCCCTCTCCATCCGCTCCTGCTCCTCACGCTCACGCCGACGGGCAGCCTGGAGACGCGTGTCGTGGCGGTGGGGAGGCGGAGTGGACTCCGCAGAACCAGGGTCTCCAGCTCCAGTCTCCTCAGACCCAGCACCCCCAGAACCAACACCTCCAGTGTCAGTGCCTCCAGAACCAGCACCTCCGACTCCTGCACCCCCAGAAGCAACACCCCCAGTGCCAGTACCTCCAGCTCCAGCACCCTGCGACCGAGCACCCCCAGACCGAGCACCTCCAGTGGCAGCCCCCCCAGCGCCAACACCCCCAGAGTCCGCAACCACCTGTCGCGGACGTGCCGAGGGCTGCTGAGGGGACTGGGAGGAGGACTGTGGGGAGGGAGACCCGACCTGACGTGCGAATGACGGCAGAGGGGTAGCGTGAGACACACCAGACGGGGCAGGACCAGGGGGGGGGCGGTGGTACCGGAGGAGCGGGGACAGGAGGAGGAGAGGGGGCGAGGAACAGGGGGGGAGGGGGTACCGGGAGACCTCGACAGGGGTACCGGGTGTAGTAGGACACAGACTCGTCGAACCTGACGTCACGGGAGTCGAGGAACTGGTGGAGGGGCGGGTGGTAAAAGGACCAGTCAGCAGAGTCGACCGGGAAACCAAGGAAGACACAGTCGATGGCGCGTGCCGAGAGCTTGTCCGCAGAGGTGTCGCGGACTTGCGCAAGGCAGCCCCAGACTCGAAAGGCCGACCCAACACCAGAGGAACCAGTCCAAAGACTGGTCGGTGAAACCTCGGGCCGCGAGACACGCGGCTGGAGGTTCAGCTGGTGTGCGGCGTAGCGAACCGCGTAGGGCCACAGAAAATGGGGCGCACGGGCATGGATCATGGACGTGCGGGAGATGTCCATGACCAAGCCAATGCGGCGCTCAGCAACCCCATTCTGCTGTGGGGACTCTGGCAGCGTCCAGGACTGTGTGATGCCCTGCTCGCCGCAGAATCCGCCGAAAATGCCGGAGCGAAACTCGCCCCCACGGTCGGAGTGGAGACAACTGACTCGACGACCACGAGTGCCCTCAGTGGCTAGAAGCCACCGGATCAGCGTAGAAGTCACCTCGGACTTCTTCGCAAGAGGGAACACTGTGGTGTACCTGGAGTAGTTGTCGACGACCACCAGAAAGTAACGCTCCCGCCCAGACCCCTGCGTCGGGGCAGGGCCCCAGACGTCCAAGTGGAGAGTCTCGAAGGGAGCGGTGGCCGGACGAAGGGAGGAGGAGTGGGGAGTGGCGCGTAAGCGACCGGCGACGCACGGAGAGCAAGGAGGGGCAAGCGAGGGAGGGAGCGACGGGAAAGTGCGTGGGAGACCTGTGACAAGTCCCTGACTGAGCATGCCACGAAGGCGAGGGATCGACGGGTGGCCAAGGCGGTGGTGCCACAGGACAGTGCGGTGGGTGAGAGAGCGACAGGAGCAAGACGCAGCGACTAGACTGGACACAGCGACCGGACCGGACACGGCTACCTGGCTCGACACAGCAACTGGACTGGGGACCTGGGCAGGAGGGGACACAACGACCTGAGGGGAGGACGCGACCGGGGAGCGCTCGGTGTGGAGAACGTAGAGACCGGAGCGGGGCTCCCTGGTGAACGTGGCCAGAACAGCACCTGTGATAGCGTCTGTACAGACTGCAGACCGCCCACCCCCCACGAAGGTAACCGTGATCCCCCTGTCCTGGAGGTATCCAACACCCACCAGGTTCCGAGTGAACGAGGGGATGTGGAGGCCGCACAGGACACCAGAGGGGACCACAGGGCACGGGAGGGTAGTGGAGCTACGCGCAACGGCTGGTCCAGAGGTAGGATCAGCCAGAGCCACTGACACAGGAGTGAGGAGTGGCGTAAGGGTCGTGTGGTCGCGGAAGAAGCACTGAGACGCACCCGAGTCCAGCGTGAACGACAGAGAGGCCTCAGCCGGAGGGTCACCGGACCCAGTCGCTACACAAGCACCTAGAGCAGCAACACAAGCACCTAAGCTAGACAGGCACAAGGCTACACTAGCAGGAGGCAAGCAGGCTAAACTACGAACACGCGAGCACACTGATCCATCAGCACTAAAGTCAGCATCAACATACAAAGCATGCTGACGCGCATCGTCCATGGACAGATCAAAGACATCAATCTTACGGGCTAACAGACGAGACCAGCGAGGCGTGACCGCCAGAGGGCCCCAACGAGCCCGGTAGAGGTCGTCGAGGCGGCGGAAGCACCGCGCGGCAGAGTGGTCGTCGCGACCACAAAGACAAGGGCTGCCCGGCCCGGTGAGACACCAGTGGGTGCAGGGGCCAGCGTCACGGCGAGGGGGGTGAGGGGCCCAGCTGGAAGAGCTGCTGCTGCGGCCGGTGCTCCCAGGGCCTCCCGGACCCCACTGCGGCGGGGGACCCCAGTGCTGATGCGGACCCCACTGCAGCAGGGGCCCCCACTGCTGGAACTGCTGCGGTGCCTGCTGCTGCTGCTGTCCCTGCTGCTGCTGCTGTCACTGCTGTGGCTGGTGCTGCTGTGGCTGCTGCTGCTGGGGGGCAACACCCCCACCGGTCGGGCCACCACCTGTGGGTGGACCTGTCTGTCCTGCACTTCCTCCAAGGCCCCCTCCCCCTGGTGCACCACCGCCGCCGCCGCCACCGCCTCCACCACCACCGCCGCTCCCACCTCCACCGCCCCCTCCACCGCCGCCTCCTCCGCCCCCACCTCCCCCCTTCCCGCCCTTCTTGCCACTCTTGCCCCGTTTCTGCCAGTCTGCGGCAGAAACGGCAGCAGTGTCCTCAGAGACCAACACAGCAGTAGAGGCGCGGGTAGCGGTGAAAGTGGGAAGCTGAGGGGCGGCACACCCCGCAAAGAGACGGGGGGCCACCGCATCAGTGGCGGAGGCAACGGTGAGGAGGCTGCTCTCGATGGTCGCGAGAGCAGTCTGAAGGAGGTCTATAGTGAGTTCAGTGGGGTGCTTCTGAAGAAGCGCGTCGCGGGCAGTGGCAAGGCGGTCAGGGAGGCGGGTGACTAACCAGTGCACAGTGAGCCACATGGGGGGGGGAAGCAACAAGGAGCTGTGCGTCGGTACAGGCCGCACGGAAACCGGCGTCAAGCGAGCGGAGGTGAGTCACGAGGTCGGAAACAGTCGCAAACGAGCCTAGGTCGGGAAACACGAACGGCATGAGGAGGCGACTGAGGGAGGCGGAGGAGGGGGTGGAATAGCGGGCAACAATAGCATCCCAAACCCCCTGTGCTGTCTCTACCTGGTCAAAGTGGGCGGCCTCAGTCGGGGGGAGAAGCTCCGTCAGTGTGAGAGCGGCGGCAGCGTCACGAGAGAGCCACACGTCCCTGGCCAGGACTCGACGGTCGTACTCCGCCTGGGCCGTAGGAGTCGGCTCCGAGGCGGTCGGCAGGGCGGCGGGGGACGGGGGGGGCTTGAGGGCACCAGACGCGTGGGCCCACAGAGTGGCGCCGTCCTGACGCTGGCTGGTGAGGAAGCGCGTGGTCTGGCGCTGCCAGGTACCGAACTCTATCGGGCGTCCCTCCGCATCGAAACGAAGGCGACGGGACTCCATAACGGAGGCAATGCTAGAGGCAGCTGGAGCACGGCGGAGGCGGAGCTAAGAACGAGGAGGTAGACTACGGAGGGCTAGGCTACTGAGGGCTAGATACGCCAGCTGGAAAACGACGAGAGACGTGTGGCGAGAAACTAGGCTAGGGGCGGGGCTCTAACCGATCCTAGGTGGCGCTACCGGAGGAAAGAGCGGCTGCCAGCCGCTGAGCCGGGAGCCAAGAGCAGTAGGAATGGTGCGGGACCGGGGGACAGGTTTAGGGGGGGGAAGCCAACGGTCGGGCAGAGAAGGGCGCACTCGGGTAGCGTGGGGAAGAAGACACGCGGGAAAACGTGGGCTAGAATTAGGGTTAGAGCGGGTTGCGTGGGCTAGGGCGGGCACGGAACGGTGGCGTGGAGGCTAGGAGGTCGTGGAGAAGGCGCGGGCGGCACGGGCGCGGGCTAAGGGCGCGGGTGTGCAAGGGGGCGGAGGCACGGAGGTGCGGAGGTGGCAAGGAGGAGGGCGCGCGACGGTAGGAGGGGCACGAACGCGGGCTAAGGGGAGGGCGCGTGCACGGGCGGATCTGGCGCGGAGGGCGCGGATGGCGCAGAGGGGGGGGGGGCGCGGAGGCACGGAGGGAGGGGTCGCGTGGCGGGCTGGCCTAGAGCGCGCGCGACTGGCTGGCCTGGGGCGCGCGACGGGCTGGCCTAGGTCGCGTGCGACGGGCTGGCCTAGGGTGCGCGCGGCGGGCTGGCGTAGGGGCGCGCGACGGGCTGGCCTGGGGCGCGCGACGGGCTGGCCTATGGCGCGTGCGATGGGCTGGCCTAGGGGCGCGCGACGGGCTGGCCTAGGGGCGCGCGACGGGCTGGCCTAGGGGCGCGCGACGGGCTGGCCTAGGGGCGCGCGACGGGCTGGCCTAGGGGCGCGCGACGGGCTGGTCTAGGGGCGCGCGACGGGCTGGCCTAGGCGCACGCGACGGGCTGGCCTAGGGTGCGAGCCACGGGCTGGCCGAGGGGAGGGCGCGGGCTACGCGCGGAGGGTGCGGAGGCGCTTAGGGTGCGGAGGGCACGGACGGTACGGAGGGCGCTAGGGCGCGGAGGGCGCTAGGGCGCGGAGGGCGCTAGGGCGCGGAGGGCGCAAGGGCGCGATCGAGGCTAGGCTAGGCGAGGAAACTACCTACTCATGATACCATCTTAGAATCAGGATGCAGCGGAATGGATTGACTAGGATGGGAGTAGGGTACAAAATGTGCAAAACCTAAACAATGTACCCTCTAGGAGGCAACTCACTGCAGCCTATTAGAAATGCTAACATTTGACAGCCTCTTATCAGTGGCAGCCCTTGTCAGACTTTTGCGGTTCAATCCTTTTATTGCAATTGAATGTGATACAGAGCGGTGCGACGCAAGTCTGCCAAGAGGTTCCCCTGATGAGAGGCCGTAGGAAGGAACACGCCCTTTGTTGTTGCTAAAAGCAGAAAATCTTGACTAGGGTAACTCTTCAAAATGGAATCATATGCGGCACAGAAGGCCAGTAAAGTACCGTTGTACGGTAATACCGGAATACGGGAATACCGGGAATACCGGAGTACGGTACATTAAGGGGTGTTTTGACACCTCAACTCAGCCGCTGAAACAGGGACTCTTTCTGACGCCATTAACTGCAGGACATTCCAAAAGAGGCGGGAGGAGGAAAGCAGGTTGATGCCAGTGTGCCAGCGAGAGGAGGAAGGCAGAATGCGACGGGTGTGGCGACGAGTGGAGGAGAGAGGCAGAGCTATTGATCCGAAGCCGCCAGTCCTACACAAGAACTTGATTTCAGTGCGGAGCATGCAGTCCTTGCCAATGATGCACAGAGGCGTGACAGCAGGGAGGCAGCTGCTACAGAGCAGAGTGGCCGGCTCGAGAGGGGAACTTGATTTCAGTGCAGAGCATGCAGTCCTTGCCAGTGATGCAGAGCTAGTCCGGGTGCGCGAGAGGAGGAAGGCAGATGGAGAGGGGTGCGGTGGCGAGATGAAGGGGACAGATGCTACAGGTCAGCGCCGCTGCCAGACCGAGAGGGGAACTTCATCTCAGTGCAGAGCATGCGGTCCGTGCCAATGATGCACAGGCGGTCTGGATACACGTCCACATGCCCGAACGCCACCGTGCCAGGGGGGCACTCCACAGCGCCCTCCAGGATGCGGTGGTGGATGCCTCTGGCGTCGAGAGCGTACGCTCCGAAGTGCGCGTGCCCGGCTATCACTGCCGCCACACACTCGTGCCTGTGGATGGTTGCTAGTACCTGATGGGGGTTATGGGAGTGAGGGAAGGAAGGGAAGTGGGGGAGCAGGGGTGAATGGATGGAGGTGAGGGGGAGAGGGTGTGGGCTCCACTCCACATGCCTGACGGCTACCAGTGGGAAACGGGGGGGAAGGGTGGGACACCCCACAGCGCCCTCCAGGGGGGCACTCCACAGCGCCCTCCAGGATGCGGTGGTGGATGCCTCTGGCGTCGAGAGCGTATGCTCCGAAGTGCGCGTGCCCGGCTATCACTGCTGCCACACACTCGTGCCTGTGAATGGTCGCTAGCACCTGAGGGGGAGAGGGGGGAGCAAGGAAAGCGAGGGGAAGGGGGTGCATGGATGCAGGTGAGAGGGGAGAGCATACCGGCTCCACATGCTTCAAGGGGACCATGGAGGAGAGGGAAAGGTGTATGCTCCGAAGTGCGCGTGCCCGGCTATCACTGCTGCCACACACTCGTGCCTGTGGATGGTCGCTAGCACCTGATGGGGAGTATTGGAGTGGTCGGGAAGGGAGAGGGGGGGAAGAGGAGAGAGGGGTACATGCAGGTGAGAGGGAGAGGGGTGTGTACAAATGGGGGTATGGAGGAGGATGGGGTGTGTAAGCAGACTGGCATCGTTATAATCCCATCCCAAGAGACTCACCTTATCGCAGTCCCAAGAAGAGTCTTGCTCACCTCATCATAGTTCCAGACAAGGCAGGTGGCAGTGGGCAGAGCAGTGGTGGGCTTTTGGGTCTTTTGGGTCGACTCAAAAGTCACGCTCACCTCATCGTAGTTCCACACTAGGCAGATGGCAGTGGGCAGAGCAGTGGGATTTTGAGTCTTTTGGGTCGACGCGAAGTTATGCTCACCTCATCGTAGTTCCAGACAAGGCAGGTGGCAGTGGGCAGGGCAGTGGGCTCGATGGGCTGGTGGCAGCACAGCACCACCGTCTCTCCCAAGGCATCGCAGTCCTGACCATGGGAGCAGGCGGGGTGAAGAGAACAAGAGGGAGGAGTGAGACCACAGGCTGAGTTATGCATGAGCAGCCGGTACGGCTCAATGGCCAGAAAAGGAGAGATGTGGGCCCACAAAAGAAGGAAGAAAGCAGCATGAAAGGAACGCGAGAAGGCAGGGACTGGAGGGCCTACTGATAGAACGCCTTCGAGCCACCGGAGCTGCTCCTCCCCCACGCCTCCATTGAACTTCACAAACCGCCTGCAGGCAGAGGCAGGCAGAAAGGAAGCAGTGGCAGTGAGTGAGGTTGAAGAATCCATTTGTGAATCAAATGCACTGTAGATTGATCCAGACCCCTCACTCCCTTACTCTCACCTGCTGAGCTCTTCAGACCCTCACCTGTTCAACCCTTCGAGCCCTTCAGGGCTGTTCTTCTCCTCGTTGGGGTTCTCCCTCTCCAGCACCTCTCTCGCCCTCACTCCGAGTGCTGGTGCACTGACCTCCCCACCCTCATTACACCTACAGGCTCCCACCTGTTCAACCCTTCAAGCCCCTCAGGGCTGTTCTTCTCCTCGTTGGGGTTCTCCCTCTCCAGCACCTCTCTCGCCCTCACTCCGAGTGCTGGTGCACTGACCTCCCCACCCTCATTACACCTACAGGCTCCCACCTGTTCAACCCTTCAAGCCCCTCAGGGCTGTTCTTCTCCTCGTTGGGGTTCTCCCTCTCCAGCACCTCTCTCGCCCTCACTCCGAGTGCTGGTGCACTGACCTCCCCACCCTCATTACACCTACAGGCTCCCACCTGTTCAACCCTTCAAGCCCCTCAGGGCTGTTCTTCTCCTCGTTGGGGTTCTCCCTCTCCAGCACCTCTCTCGCCCTCACTCCGAGTGCTGGTGCACTGACCTCCCCACCCTCATTACACCTACAGGCTCCCACCTGTTCAACCCTTAAGCCCCTCAGGGCTGTTCTTCTCCTCGTTGGGGTTCTCCCTCTCCAGCACCTCTCTCGCCCTCACTCCGAGTGCTGGTGCACTGACCTCCCCACCCTCATTACACCTACAGGCTCCCACCTGTTCAACCCTTCAAGCCCCTCAGGGCTGTTCTTCTCCTCGTTGGGGTTCTCCCTCTCCAGCACCTCTCTCGCCCTCACTCCGAGTGCTGGTGCACTGACCTCCCCACCCTCATTACACCTACAGGCTCCCACCTGTTCAACCCTTCAAGCCCCTCAGGGCTGTTCTTCTCCTCGTTGGGGTTCTCCCTCTCCAGCACCTCTCTCGCCCTCACTCCGAGTGCTGGTGCACTGACCTCCCCACCCTCATTACACCTACAGGCTCCCACCTGTTCAACCCTTCAAGCCCCTCAGGGCTGTTCTTCTCCTCGTTGGGGTTCTCCCTCTCCAGCACCTCTCTCGCCCTCACTCCGAGTGCTGGTGCACTGACCTCCCCACCCTCATTACACCTACAGGCTCCCACCTGTTCAACCCTTCAAGCCCCTCAGGGCTGTTCTTCTCCTCGTTGGGGTTCTCCCTCTCCAGCACCTCTCTCGCCCTCACTCCGAGTGCTGGTGCACTGACCTCCCCACCCTCATTACACCTACAGGCTCCCACCTGTTCAACCCTTCAAGCCCCTCAGGGCTGTTCTTCTCCTCGTTGGGGTTCTCCCTCTCCAGCACCTCTCTCGCCCTCACTCCGAGTGCTGGTGCACTGACCTCCCCACCCTCATTACACCTACAGGCTCCCACCTGTTCAACCCTTCAAGCCCCTCAGGGCTGTTCTTCTCCTCGTTGGGGTTCTCCCTCTCCAGCACCTCTCTCGCCCTCACTCCGAGTGCTGGTGCACTGACCTCCCCACCCTCATTACACCTACAGGCTCCCACCTGTTCAACCCTTCAAGCCCCTCAGGGCTGTTCTTCTCCTCGTTGGGGTTCTCCCTCTCCAGCACCTCTCTCGCCCTCACTCCGAGTGCTGGTGCACTGACCTCCCCACCCTCATTACACCTACAGGCTCCCACCTGTTCAACCCTTCAAGCCCCTCAGGGCTGTTCTTCTCCTCGTTGGGATTCTCCCTCTCCAGCACCTCTCTCGCCCTCACTCCGAGTGCTGGTGCACTGACCTCCCCACCCTCATTACACCTACAGGCTCCCACCTGTTCAACCCTTCAAGCCCCTCAGGGCTGTTCTTCTCCTCGTTGGGATTCTCCCTCTCCAGCACCTCTCTCGCCCTCACTCCGAGTGCTGGTGCACTGACCTCCCCACCCTCATTACACCTACAGGCTCCCACCTGTTCAACCCTTCAAGCCCCTCAGGGCTGTTCTTCTCCTCGTTGGGATTCTCCCTCTCCAGCACCTCTCTCGCCCTCACTCCGAGTGCTGGTGCACTGACCTCCCCACCCTCATTACACCTACAGGCTCCCACCTGTTCAACCCTTCAAGCCCCTCAGGGCTGTTCTTCTCCTCGTTGGGATTCTCCCTCTCCAGCACCTCTCTCGCCCTCACTCCGAGTGCTGGTGCACTGACCTCCCCACCCTCATTACACCTACAGGCTCCCACCTGTTCAACCCTTCAAGCCCCTCAGGGCTGTTCTTCTCCTCGTTGGGATTCTCCCTCTCCAGCACCTCTCTCGCCCTCACTCCGAGTGCTGGTGCACTGACCTCCCCACCCTCATTACACCTACAGGCTCCCACCTGTTCAACCCTTCAAGCCCCTCAGGGCTGTTCTTCTCCTCGTTGGGGTTCTCCCTCTCCAGCACCTCTCTCGCCCTCACTCCGAGTGCTGGTGCACTGACCTCCCCACCCTCATTACACCTACAGGCTCCCACCTGTTCAACCCTTCAAGCCCCTCAGGGCTGTTCTTCTCCTCGTTGGGATTCTCCCTCTCCAGCACCTCTCTCGCCCTCACTCCGAGTGCTGGTGCACTGACCTCCCCAGCCTCATTACACCTACAGGCTCCCACCTGTTCAACCCTTCAAGCCCCTCAGGGCTGTTCTTCTCCTCGTTGGGGTTCTCCCTCTCCAGCACCTCTCTCGCCCTCACTCCGAGTGCTGGTGCACTGACCTCCCCACCCTCATTACACCTACAGGCTCCCACCTGTTCAACCCTTCAAGCCCCTCAGGGCTGTTCTTCTCCTCGTTGGGGTTCTCCCTCTCCAGCACCTCTCTCGCCCTCACTCCGAGTGCTGGTGCACTGACCTCCCCACCCTCATTACACCTACAGGCTCCCACCTGTTCAACCCTTCAAGCCCCTCAGGGCTGTTCTTCTCCTCGTTGGGGTTCTCCCTCTCCAGCACCTCTCTCGCCCTCACTTCGAGTGCTGGTGCACTGACCTCCCCACCCTCATTACACCTACAGGCTCCCACCTGTTCAACCCTTCAAGCCCCTCAGGGCTGTTCTTCTCCTCGTTGGGGTTCTCCCTCTCCAGCACCTCTCTCGCCCTCACTTCGAGTGCTGGTGCACTGACCTCCCCACCCTCATTACACCTACAGGCTCCCACCTGTTCAACCCTTCAAGCCCCTCAGGGCTGTTCTTCTCCTCGTTGGGGTTCTCCCTCTCCAGCACCTCTCTCGCCCTCACTTCGAGTGCTGGTGCACTGACCTCCCCACCCTCATTACACCTACAGGCTCCCACCTGTTCAACCCTTCAAGCCCCTCAGGGCTGTTCTTCTCCTCGTTGGGGTTCTCCCTCTCCAGCACCTCTCTCGCCCTCACTTCGAGTGCTGGTGCACTGACCTCCCCACCCTCATTACACCTACAGGCTCCCACCTGTTCAACCCTTCAAGCCCCTCAGGGCTGTTCTTCTCCTCGTTGGGGTTCTCCCTCTCCAGCACCTCTCTCGCCCTCACTTCGAGTGCTGGTGCACTGACCTCCCCACCCTCATTACACCTACAGGCTCCCACCTGTTCAACCCTTCAAGCCCCTCAGGGCTGTTCTTCTCCTCGTTGGGGTTCTCCCTCTCCAGCACCTCTCTCGCCCTCACTCCGAGTGCTGGTGCACTGACCTCCCCACCCTCATTACACCTACAGGCTCCCACGTGTTCAACCCTTCAAGCCCCTCAGGGCTGTTCTTCTCCTCGTTGGGGTTCTCCCTCTCCAGCACCTCTCTCGCCCTCACTTCGAGTGCTGGTGCACTGACCTCCCCACCCTCATTACACCTACAGGCTCCCACCTGTTCAACCCTTCAAGCCCCTCAGGGCTGTTCTTCTCCTCGTTGGGGTTCTCCCTCTCCAGCACCTCTCTCGCCCTCACTTCGAGTGCTGGTGCACTGACCTCCCCACCCTCATTACACCTACAGGCTCCCACCTGTTCAACCCTTCAAGCCCCTCAGGGCTGTTCTTCTCCTCGTTGGGGTTCTCCCTCTCCAGCACCTCTCTCGCCCTCACTTCGAGTGCTGGTGCACTGACCTCCCCACCCTCATTACACCTACAGGCTCCCACCTGTTCAACCCTTCAAGCCCCTCAGGGCTGTTCTTCTCCTCGTTGGGGTTCTCCCTCTCCAGCACCTCTCTCGCCCTCACTTCGAGTGCTGGTGCACTGACCTCCCCACCCTCATTACACCTACAGGCTCCCACCTGTTCAACCCTTCAAGCCCCTCAGGGCTGTTCTTCTCCTCGTTGGGGTTCTCCCTCTCCAGCACCTCTCTCGCCCTCACTTCGAGTGCTGGTGCACTGACCTCCCCACCCTCATTACACCTACAGGCTCCCACCTGTTCAACCCTTCAAGCCCCTCAGGGCTGTTCTTCTCCTCGTTGGGGTTCTCCCTCTCCAGCACCTCTCTCGCCCTCACTCCGAGTGCTGGTGCACTGACCTCCCCACCCTCATTACACCTACAGGCTCCCACCTGTTCAACCCTTCAAGCCCCTCAGGGCTGTTCTTCTCCTCGTTGGGGTTCTCCCTCTCCAGCACCTCTCTCGCCCTCACTTCGAGTGCTGGTGCACTGACCTCCCCACCCTCATTACACCTACAGGCTCCCACCTGTTCAACCCTTCAAGCCCCTCAGGGCTGTTCTTCTCCTCGTTGGGGTTCTCCCTCTCCAGCACCTCTCTCGCCCTCACTTCGAGTGCTGGTGCACTGACCTCCCCACCCTCATTACACCTACAGGCTCCCACCTGTTCAACCCTTCAAGCCCCTCAGGGCTGTTCTTCTCCTCGTTGGGGTTCTCCCTCTCCAGCACCTCTCTCGCCCTCACTTCGAGTGCTGGTGCACTGACCTCCCCACCCTCATTACACCTACAGGCTCCCACCTGTTCAACCCTTCAAGCCCCTCAGGGCTGTTCTTCTCCTCGTTGGGGTTCTCCCTCTCCAGCACCTCTCTCGCCCTCACTTCGAGTGCTGGTGCACTGACCTCCCCACCCTCATTACACCTACAGGCTCCCACCTGTTCAACCCTTCAAGCCCCTCAGGGCTGTTCTTCTCCTCGTTGGGGTTCTCCCTCTCCAGCACCTCTCTCGCCCTCACTCCGAGTGCTGGTGCACTGACCTCCCCACCCTCATTACACCTACAGGCTCCCACCTGTTCAACCCTTCAAGCCCCTCAGGGCTGTTCTTCTCCTCGTTGGGGTTCTCCCTCTCCAGCACCTCTCTCGCCCTCACTTCGAGTGCTGGTGCACTGACCTCCCCACCCTCATTACACCTACAGGCTCCCACCTGTTCAACCCTTCAAGCCCCTCAGGGCTGTTCTTCTCCTCGTTGGGGTTCTCCCTCTCCAGCACCTCTCTCGCCCTCACTTCGAGTGCTGGTGCACTGACCTCCCCACCCTCATTACACCTACAGGCTCCCACCTGTTCAACCCTTCAAGCCCCTCAGGGCTGTTCTTCTCCTCGTTGGGGTTCTCCCTCTCCAGCACCTCTCTCGCCCTCACTTCGAGTGCTGGTGCACTGACCTCCCCACCCTCATTACACCTACAGGCTCCCACCTGTTCAACCCTTCAAGCCCCTCAGGGCTGTTCTTCTCCTCGTTGGGGTTCTCCCTCTCCAGCACCTCTCTCGCCCTCACTCCGAGTGCTGGTGCACTGACCTCCCCACCCTCATTACACCTACAGGCTCCCACCTGTTCAACCCTTCAAGCCCCTCAGGGCTGTTCTTCTCCTCGTTGGGGTTCTCCCTCTCCAGCACCTCTCTCGCCCTCACTTCGAGTGCTGGTGCACTGACCTCCCCACCCTCATTACACCTACAGGCTCCCACCTGTTCAACCCTTCAAGCCCCTCAGGGCTGTTCTTCTCCTCGTTGGGGTTCTCCCTCTCCAGCACCTCTCTCGCCCTCACTCCGAGTGCTGGTGCACTGACCTCCCCACCCTCATTACACCTACAGGCTCCCACCTGTTCAACCCTTCAAGCCCCTCAGGGCTGTTCTTCTCCTCGTTGGGGTTCTCCCTCTCCAGCACCTCTCTCGCCCTCACTTCGAGTGCTGGTGCACTGACCTCCCCACCCTCATTACACCTACAGGCTCCCACCTGTTCAACCCTTCAAGCCCCTCAGGGCTGTTCTTCTCCTCGTTGGGGTTCTCCCTCTCCAGCACCTCTCTCGCCCTCACTCCGAGTGCTGGTGCACTGACCTCCCCACCCTCATTACACCTACAGGCTCCCACCTGTTCAACCCTTCAAGCCCCTCAGGGCTGTTCTTCTCCTCGTTGGGGTTCTCCCTCTCCAGCACCTCTCTCGCCCTCACTTCGAGTGCTGGTGCACTGACCTCCCCACCCTCATTACACCTACAGGCTCCCACCTGTTCAACCCTTCAAGCCCCTCAGGGCTGTTCTTCTCCTCGTTGGGGTTCTCCCTCTCCAGCACCTCTCTCGCCCTCACTCCGAGTGCTGGTGCACTGACCTCCCCACCCTCATTACACCTACAGGCTCCCACCTGTTCAACCCTTCAAGCCCCTCAGGGCTGTTCTTCTCCTCGTTGGGGTTCTCCCTCTCCAGCACCTCTCTCGCCCTCACTTCGAGTGCTGGTGCACTGACCTCCCCACCCTCATTACACCTACAGGCTCCCACCTGTTCAACCCTTCAAGCCCCTCAGGGCTGTTCTTCTCCTCGTTGGGGTTCTCCCTCTCCAGCACCTCTCTCGCCCTCACTTCGAGTGCTGGTGCACTGACCTCCCCACCCTCATTACACCTACAGGCTCCCACCTGTTCAACCCTTCAAGCCCCTCAGGGCTGTTCTTCTCCTCGTTGGGGTTCTCCCTCTCCAGCACCTCTCTCGCCCTCACTCCGAGTGCTGGTGCACTGACCTCCCCACCCTCATTACACCTACAGGCTCCCACCTGTTCAACCCTTCAAGCCCCTCAGGGCTGTTCTTCTCCTCGTTGGGGTTCTCCCTCTCCAGCACCTCTCTCGCCCTCACTTCGAGTGCTGGTGCACTGACCTCCCCACCCTCATTACACCTACAGGCTCCCACCTGTTCAACCCTTCAAGCCCCTCAGGGCTGTTCTTCTCCTCGTTGGGGTTCTCCCTCTCCAGCACCTCTCTCGCCCTCACTTCGAGTGCTGGTGCACTGACCTCCCCACCCTCATTACACCTACAGGCTCCCACCTGTTCAACCCTTCAAGCCCCTCAGGGCTGTTCTTCTCCTCGTTGGGGTTCTCCCTCTCCAGCACCTCTCTCGCCCTCACTCCGAGTGCTGGTGCACTGACCTCCCCACCCTCATTACACCTACAGGCTCCCACCTGTTCAACCCTTCAAGCCCCTCAGGGCTGTTCTTCTCCTCGTTGGGGTTCTCCCTCTCCAGCACCTCTCTCGCCCTCACTTCGAGTGCTGGTGCACTGACCTCCCCACCCTCATTACACCTACAGGCTCCCACCTGTTCAACCCTTCAAGCCCCTCAGGGCTGTTCTTCTCCTCGTTGGGGTTCTCCCTCTCCAGCACCTCTCTCGCCCTCACTTCGAGTGCTGGTGCACTGACCTCCCCACCCTCATTACACCTACAGGCTCCCACCTGTTCAACCCTTCAAGCCCCTCAGGGCTGTTCTTCTCCTCGTTGGGGTTCTCCCTCTCCAGCACCTCTCTCGCCCTCACTCCGAGTGCTGGTGCACTGACCTCCCCACCCTCATTACACCTACAGGCTCCCACCTGTTCAACCCTTCAAGCCCCTCAGGGCTGTTCTTCTCCTCGTTGGGGTTCTCCCTCTCCAGCACCTCTCTCGCCCTCACTTCGAGTGCTGGTGCACTGACCTCCCCACCCTCATTACACCTACAGGCTCCCACCTGTTCAACCCTTCAAGCCCCTCAGGGCTGTTCTTCTCCTCGTTGGGGTTCTCCCTCTCCAGCACCTCTCTCGCCCTCACTCCGAGTGCTGGTGCACTGACCTCCCCACCCTCATTACACCTACAGGCTCCCACCTGTTCAACCCTTCAAGCCCCTCAGGGCTGTTCTTCTCCTCGTTGGGGTTCTCCCTCTCCAGCACCTCTCTCGCCCTCACTTCGAGTGCTGGTGCACTGACCTCCCCACCCTCATTACACCTACAGGCTCCCACCTGTTCAACCCTTCAAGCCCCTCAGGGCTGTTCTTCTCCTCGTTGGGGTTCTCCCTCTCCAGCACCTCTCTCGCCCTCACTTCGAGTGCTGGTGCACTGACCTCCCCACCCTCATTACACCTACAGGCTCCCACCTGTTCAACCCTTCAAGCCCCTCAGGGCTGTTCTTCTCCTCGTTGGGGTTCTCCCTCTCCAGCACCTCTCTCGCCCTCACTCCGAGTGCTGGTGCACTGACCTCCCCACCCTCATTACACCTACAGGCTCCCACCTGTTCAACCCTTCAAGCCCCTCAGGGCTGTTCTTCTCCTCGTTGGGGTTCTCCCTCTCCAGCACCTCTCTCGCCCTCACTTCGAGTGCTGGTGCACTGACCTCCCCACCCTCATTACACCTACAGGCTCCCACCTGTTCAACCCTTCAAGCCCCTCAGGGCTGTTCTTCTCCTCGTTGGGGTTCTCCCTCTCCAGCACCTCTCTCGCCCTCACTTCGAGTGCTGGTGCACTGACCTCCCCACCCTCATTACACCTACAGGCTCCCACCTGTTCAACCCTTCAAGCCCCTCAGGGCTGTTCTTCTCCTCGTTGGGGTTCTCCCTCTCCAGCACCTCTCTCGCCCTCACTCCGAGTGCTGGTGCACTGACCTCCCCACCCTCATTACACCTACAGGCTCCCACCTGTTCAACCCTTCAAGCCCCTCAGGGCTGTTCTTCTCCTCGTTGGGGTTCTCCCTCTCCAGCACCTCTCTCGCCCTCACTTCGAGTGCTGGTGCACTGACCTCCCCACCCTCATTACACCTACAGGCTCCCACCTGTTCAACCCTTCAAGCCCCTCAGGGCTGTTCTTCTCCTCGTTGGGGTTCTCCCTCTCCAGCACCTCTCTCGCCCTCACTCCGAGTGCTGGTGCACTGACCTCCCCACCCTCATTACACCTACAGGCTCCCACCTGTTCAACCCTTCAAGCCCCTCAGGGCTGTTCTTCTCCTCGTTGGGGTTCTCCCTCTCCAGCACCTCTCTCGCCCTCACTCCGAGTGCTGGTGCACTGACCTCCCCACCCTCATTACACCTACAGGCTCCCACCTGTTCAACCCTTCAAGCCCCTCAGGGCTGTTCTTCTCCTCGTTGGGGTTCTCCCTCTCCAGCACCTCTCTCGCCCTCACTCCGAGTGCTGGTGCACTGACCTCCCCACCCTCATTACACCTACAGGCTCCCACCTGTTCAACCCTTCAAGCCCCTCAGGGCTGTTCTTCTCCTCGTTGGGGTTCTCCCTCTCCAGCACCTCTCTCGCCCTCACTCCGAGTGCTGGTGCACTGACCTCCCCACCCTCATTACACCTACAGGCTCCCACCTGTTCAACCCTTCAAGCCCCTCAGGGCTGTTCTTCTCCTCGTTGGGGTTCTCCCTCTCCAGCACCTCTCTCGCCCTCACTTCGAGTGCTGGTGCACTGACCTCCCCACCCTCATTACACCTACAGGCTCCCACCTGTTCAACCCTTCAAGCCCCTCAGGGCTGTTCTTCTCCTCGTTGGGGTTCTCCCTCTCCAGCACCTCTCTCGCCCTCACTTCGAGTGCTGGTGCACTGACCTCCCCACCCTCATTACACCTACAGGCTCCCACCTGTTCAACCCTTCAAGCCCCTCAGGGCTGTTCTTCTCCTCGTTGGGGTTCTCCCTCTCCAGCACCTCTCTCGCCCTCACTCCGAGTGCTGGTGCACTGACCTCCCCACCCTCATTACACCTACAGGCTCCCACCTGTTCAACCCTTCAAGCCCCTCAGGGCTGTTCTTCTCCTCGTTGGGGTTCTCCCTCTCCAGCACCTCTCTCGCCCTCACTTCGAGTGCTGGTGCACTGACCTCCCCACCCTCATTACACCTACAGGCTCCCACCTGTTCAACCCTTCAAGCCCCTCAGGGCTGTTCTTCTCCTCGTTGGGGTTCTCCCTCTCCAGCACCTCTCTCGCCCTCACTCCGAGTGCTGGTGCACTGACCTCCCCACCCTCATTACACCTACAGGCTCCCACCTGTTCAACCCTTCAAGCCCCTCAGGGCTGTTCTTCTCCTCGTTGGGGTTCTCCCTCTCCAGCACCTCTCTCGCCCTCACTTCGAGTGCTGGTGCACTGACCTCCCCACCCTCATTACACCTACAGGCTCCCACCTGTTCAACCCTTCAAGCCCCTCAGGGCTGTTCTTCTCCTCGTTGGGGTTCTCCCTCTCCAGCACCTCTCTCGCCCTCACTTCGAGTGCTGGTGCACTGACCTCCCCACCCTCATTACACCTACAGGCTCCCACCTGTTCAACCCTTCAAGCCCCTCAGGGCTGTTCTTCTCCTCGTTGGGGTTCTCCCTCTCCAGCACCTCTCTCGCCCTCACTCCGAGTGCTGGTGCACTGACCTCCCCACCCTCATTACACCTACAGGCTCCCACCTGTTCAACCCTTCAAGCCCCTCAGGGCTGTTCTTCTCCTCGTTGGGGTTCTCCCTCTCCAGCACCTCTCTCGCCCTCACTTCGAGTGCTGGTGCACTGACCTCCCCACCCTCATTACACCTACAGGCTCCCACCTGTTCAACCCTTCAAGCCCCTCAGGGCTGTTCTTCTCCTCGTTGGGGTTCTCCCTCTCCAGCACCTCTCTCGCCCTCACTTCGAGTGCTGGTGCACTGACCTCCCCACCCTCATTACACCTACAGGCTCCCACCTGTTCAACCCTTCAAGCCCCTCAGGGCTGTTCTTCTCCTCGTTGGGGTTCTCCCTCTCCAGCACCTCTCTCGCCCTCACTTCGAGTGCTGGTGCACTGACCTCCCCACCCTCATTACACCTACAGGCTCCCACCTGTTCAACCCTTCAAGCCCCTCAGGGCTGTTCTTCTCCTCGTTGGGGTTCTCCCTCTCCAGCACCTCTCTCGCCCTCACTTCGAGTGCTGGTGCACTGACCTCCCCACCCTCATTACACCTACAGGCTCCCACCTGTTCAACCCTTCAAGCCCCTCAGGGCTGTTCTTCTCCTCGTTGGGGTTCTCCCTCTCCAGCACCTCTCTCGCCCTCACTCCGAGTGCTGGTGCACTGACCTCCCCACCCTCATTACACCTACAGGCTCCCACCTGTTCAACCCTTCAAGCCCCTCAGGGCTGTTCTTCTCCTCGTTGGGGTTCTCCCTCTCCAGCACCTCTCTCGCCCTCACTTCGAGTGCTGGTGCACTGACCTCCCCACCCTCATTACACCTACAGGCTCCCACCTGTTCAACCCTTCAAGCCCCTCAGGGCTGTTCTTCTCCTCGTTGGGGTTCTCCCTCTCCAGCACCTCTCTCGCCCTCACTTCGAGTGCTGGTGCACTGACCTCCCCACCCTCATTACACCTACAGGCTCCCACCTGTTCAACCCTTCAAGCCCCTCAGGGCTGTTCTTCTCCTCGTTGGGGTTCTCCCTCTCCAGCACCTCTCTCGCCCTCACTCCGAGTGCTGGTGCACTGACCTCCCCACCCTCATTACACCTACAGGCTCCCACCTGTTCAACCCTTCAAGCCCCTCAGGGCTGTTCTTCTCCTCGTTGGGGTTCTCCCTCTCCAGCACCTCTCTCGCCCTCACTTCGAGTGCTGGTGCACTGACCTCCCCACCCTCATTACACCTACAGGCTCCCACCTGTTCAACCCTTCAAGCCCCTCAGGGCTGTTCTTCTCCTCGTTGGGGTTCTCCCTCTCCAGCACCTCTCTCGCCCTCACTCCGAGTGCTGGTGCACTGACCTCCCCACCCTCATTACACCTACAGGCTCCCACCTGTTCAACCCTTCAAGCCCCTCAGGGCTGTTCTTCTCCTCGTTGGGGTTCTCCCTCTCCAGCACCTCTCTCGCCCTCACTCCGAGTGCTGGTGCACTGACCTCCCCACCCTCATTACACCTACAGGCTCCCACCTGTTCAACCCTTCAAGCCCCTCAGGGCTGTTCTTCTCCTCGTTGGGGTTCTCCCTCTCCAGCACCTCTCTCGCCCTCACTCCGAGTGCTGGTGCACTGACCTCCCCACCCTCATTACACCTACAGGCTCCCACCTGTTCAACCCTTCAAGCCCCTCAGGGCTGTTCTTCTCCTCGTTGGGGTTCTCCCTCTCCAGCACCTCTCTCGCCCTCACTCCGAGTGCTGGTGCACTGACCTCCCCACCCTCATTACACCTACAGGCTCCCACCTGTTCAACCCTTCAAGCCCCTCAGGGCTGTTCTTCTCCTCGTTGGGGTTCTCCCTCTCCAGCACCTCTCTCGCCCTCACTCCGAGTGCTGGTGCACTGACCTCCCCACCCTCATTACACCTACAGGCTCCCACCTGTTCAACCCTTCAAGCCCCTCAGGGCTGTTCTTCTCCTCGTTGGGGTTCTCCCTCTCCAGCACCTCTCTCGCCCTCACTCCGAGTGCTGGTGCACTGACCTCCCCACCCTCATTACACCTACAGGCTCCCACCTGTTCAACCCTTCAAGCCCCTCAGGGCTGTTCTTCTCCTCGTTGGGGTTCTCCCTCTCCAGCACCTCTCTCGCCCTCACTCCGAGTGCTGGTGCACTGACCTCCCCACCCTCATTACACCTACAGGCTCCCACCTGTTCAACCCTTCAAGCCCCTCAGGGCTGTTCTTCTCCTCGTTGGGGTTCTCCCTCTCCAGCACCTCTCTCGCCCTCACTCCGAGTGCTGGTGCACTGACCTCCCCACCCTCATTACACCTACAGGCTCCCACCTGTTCAACCCTTCAAGCCCCTCAGGGCTGTTCTTCTCCTCGTTGGGGTTCTCCCTCTCCAGCACCTCTCTCGCCCTCACTCCGAGTGCTGGTGCACTGACCTCCCCACCCTCATTACACCTACAGGCTCCCACCTGTTCAACCCTTCAAGCCCCTCAGGGCTGTTCTTCTCCTCGTTGGGGTTCTCCCTCTCCAGCACCTCTCTCGCCCTCACTCCGAGTGCTGGTGCACTGACCTCCCCACCCTCATTACACCTACAGGCTCCCACCTGTTCAACCCTTCAAGCCCCTCAGGGCTGTTCTTCTCCTCGTTGGGGTTCTCCCTCTCCAGCACCTCTCTCGCCCTCACTCCGAGTGCTGGTGCACTGACCTCCCCACCCTCATTACACCTACAGGCTCCCACCTGTTCAACCCTTCAAGCCCCTCAGGGCTGTTCTTCTCCTCGTTGGGGTTCTCCCTCTCCAGCACCTCTCTCGCCCTCACTCCGAGTGCTGGTGCACTGACCTCCCCACCCTCATTACACCTACAGGCTCCCACCTGTTCAACCCTTCAAGCCCCTCAGGGCTGTTCTTCTCCTCGTTGGGGTTCTCCCTCTCCAGCACCTCTCTCGCCCTCACTCCGAGTGCTGGTGCACTGACCTCCCCACCCTCATTACACCTACAGGCTCCCACCTGTTCAACCCTTCAAGCCCCTCAGGGCTGTTCTTCTCCTCGTTGGGGTTCTCCCTCTCCAGCACCTCTCTCGCCCTCACTCCGAGTGCTGGTGCACTGACCTCCCCACCCTCATTACACCTACAGGCTCCCACCTGTTCAACCCTTCAAGCCCCTCAGGGCTGTTCTTCTCCTCGTTGGGGTTCTCCCTCTCCAGCACCTCTCTCGCCCTCACTCCGAGTGCTGGTGCACTGACCTCCCCACCCTCATTACACCTACAGGCTCCCACCTGTTCAACCCTTCAAGCCCCTCAGGGCTGTTCTTCTCCTCGTTGGGGTTCTCCCTCTCCAGCACCTCTCTCGCCCTCACTCCGAGTGCTGGTGCACTGACCTCCCCACCCTCATTACACCTACAGGCTCCCACCTGTTCAACCCTTCAAGCCCCTCAGGGCTGTTCTTCTCCTCGTTGGGGTTCTCCCTCTCCAGCACCTCTCTCGCCCTCACTCCGAGTGCTGGTGCACTGACCTCCCCACCCTCATTACACCTACAGGCTCCCACCTGTTCAACCCTTCAAGCCCCTCAGGGCTGTTCTTCTCCTCGTTGGGGTTCTCCCTCTCCAGCACCTCTCTCGCCCTCACTCCGAGTGCTGGTGCACTGACCTCCCCACCCTCATTACACCTACAGGCTCCCACCTGTTCAACCCTTCAAGCCCCTCAGGGCTGTTCTTCTCCTCGTTGGGGTTCTCCCTCTCCAGCACCTCTCTCGCCCTCACTCCGAGTGCTGGTGCACTGACCTCCCCACCCTCATTACACCTACAGGCTCCCACCTGTTCAACCCTTCAAGCCCCTCAGGGCTGTTCTTCTCCTCGTTGGGGTTCTCCCTCTCCAGCACCTCTCTCGCCCTCACTCCGAGTGCTGGTGCACTGACCTCCCCACCCTCATTACACCTACAGGCTCCCACCTGTTCAACCCTTCAAGCCCCTCAGGGCTGTTCTTCTCCTCGTTGGGGTTCTCCCTCTCCAGCACCTCTCTCGCCCTCACTCCGAGTGCTGGTGCACTGACCTCCCCACCCTCATTACACCTACAGGCTCCCACCTGTTCAACCCTTCAAGCCCCTCAGGGCTGTTCTTCTCCTCGTTGGGGTTCTCCCTCTCCAGCACCTCTCTCGCCCTCACTCCGAGTGCTGGTGCACTGACCTCCCCACCCTCATTACACCTACAGGCTCCCACCTGTTCAACCCTTCAAGCCCCTCAGGGCTGTTCTTCTCCTCGTTGGGGTTCTCCCTCTCCAGCACCTCTCTCGCCCTCACTCCGAGTGCTGGTGCACTGACCTCCCCACCCTCATTACACCTACAGGCTCCCACCTGTTCAACCCTTCAAGCCCCTCAGGGCTGTTCTTCTCCTCGTTGGGGTTCTCCCTCTCCAGCACCTCTCTCGCCCTCACTCCGAGTGCTGGTGCACTGACCTCCCCACCCTCATTACACCTACAGGCTCCCACCTGTTCAACCCTTCAAGCCCCTCAGGGCTGTTCTTCTCCTCGTTGGGGTTCTCCCTCTCCAGCACCTCTCTCGCCCTCACTCCGAGTGCTGGTGCACTGACCTCCCCACCCTCATTACACCTACAGGCTCCCACCTGTTCAACCCTTCAAGCCCCTCAGGGCTGTTCTTCTCCTCGTTGGGGTTCTCCCTCTCCAGCACCTCTCTCGCCCTCACTCCGAGTGCTGGTGCACTGACCTCCCCACCCTCATTACACCTACAGGCTCCCACCTGTTCAACCCTTCAAGCCCCTCAGGGCTGTTCTTCTCCTCGTTGGGGTTCTCCCTCTCCAGCACCTCTCTCGCCCTCACTCCGAGTGCTGGTGCACTGACCTCCCCACCCTCATTACACCTACAGGCTCCCACCTGTTCAACCCTTCAAGCCCCTCAGGGCTGTTCTTCTCCTCGTTGGGGTTCTCCCTCTCCAGCACCTCTCTCGCCCTCACTCCGAGTGCTGGTGCACTGACCTCCCCACCCTCATTACACCTACAGGCTCCCACCTGTTCAACCCTTCAAGCCCCTCAGGGCTGTTCTTCTCCTCGTTGGGGTTCTCCCTCTCCAGCACCTCTCTCGCCCTCACTCCGAGTGCTGGTGCACTGACCTCCCCACCCTCATTACACCTACAGGCTCCCACCTGTTCAACCCTTCAAGCCCCTCAGGGCTGTTCTTCTCCTCGTTGGGGTTCTCCCTCTCCAGCACCTCTCTCGCCCTCACTCCGAGTGCTGGTGCACTGACCTCCCCACCCTCATTACACCTACAGGCTCCCACCTGTTCAACCCTTCAAGCCCCTCAGGGCTGTTCTTCTCCTCGTTGGGGTTCTCCCTCTCCAGCACCTCTCTCGCCCTCACTCCGAGTGCTGGTGCACTGACCTCCCCACCCTCATTACACCTACAGGCTCCCACCTGTTCAACCCTTCAAGCCCCTCAGGGCTGTTCTTCTCCTCGTTGGGGTTCTCCCTCTCCAGCACCTCTCTCGCCCTCACTCCGAGTGCTGGTGCACTGACCTCCCCACCCTCATTACACCTACAGGCTCCCACCTGTTCAACCCTTCAAGCCCCTCAGGGCTGTTCTTCTCCTCGTTGGGGTTCTCCCTCTCCAGCACCTCTCTCGCCCTCACTCCGAGTGCTGGTGCACTGACCTCCCCACCCTCATTACACCTACAGGCTCCCACCTGTTCAACCCTTCAAGCCCCTCAGGGCTGTTCTTCTCCTCGTTGGGGTTCTCCCTCTCCAGCACCTCTCTCGCCCTCACTCCGAGTGCTGGTGCACTGACCTCCCCACCCTCATTACACCTACAGGCTCCCACCTGTTCAACCCTTCAAGCCCCTCAGGGCTGTTCTTCTCCTCGTTGGGGTTCTCCCTCTCCAGCACCTCTCTCGCCCTCACTCCGAGTGCTGGTGCACTGACCTCCCCACCCTCATTACACCTACAGGCTCCCACCTGTTCAACCCTTCAAGCCCCTCAGGGCTGTTCTTCTCCTCGTTGGGGTTCTCCCTCTCCAGCACCTCTCTCGCCCTCACTCCGAGTGCTGGTGCACTGACCTCCCCACCCTCATTACACCTACAGGCTCCCACCTGTTCAACCCTTCAAGCCCCTCAGGGCTGTTCTTCTCCTCGTTGGGGTTCTCCCTCTCCAGCACCTCTCTCGCCCTCACTCCGAGTGCTGGTGCACTGACCTCCCCACCCTCATTACACCTACAGGCTCCCACCTGTTCAACCCTTCAAGCCCCTCAGGGCTGTTCTTCTCCTCGTTGGGGTTCTCCCTCTCCAGCACCTCTCTCGCCCTCACTCCGAGTGCTGGTGCACTGACCTCCCCACCCTCATTACACCTACAGGCTCCCACCTGTTCAACCCTTCAAGCCCCTCAGGGCTGTTCTTCTCCTCGTTGGGGTTCTCCCTCTCCAGCACCTCTCTCGCCCTCACTCCGAGTGCTGGTGCACTGACCTCCCCACCCTCATTACACCTACAGGCTCCCACCTGTTCAACCCTTCAAGCCCCTCAGGGCTGTTCTTCTCCTCGTTGGGGTTCTCCCTCTCCAGCACCTCTCTCGCCCTCACTCCGAGTGCTGGTGCACTGACCTCCCCACCCTCATTACACCTACAGGCTCCCACCTGTTCAACCCTTCAAGCCCCTCAGGGCTGTTCTTCTCCTCGTTGGGGTTCTCCCTCTCCAGCACCTCTCTCGCCCTCACTCCGAGTGCTGGTGCACTGACCTCCCCACCCTCATTACACCTACAGGCTCCCACCTGTTCAACCCTTCAAGCCCCTCAGGGCTGTTCTTCTCCTCGTTGGGGTTCTCCCTCTCCAGCACCTCTCTCGCCCTCACTCCGAGTGCTGGTGCACTGACCTCCCCACCCTCATTACACCTACAGGCTCCCACCTGTTCAACCCTTCAAGCCCCTCAGGGCTGTTCTTCTCCTCGTTGGGGTTCTCCCTCTCCAGCACCTCTCTCGCCCTCACTCCGAGTGCTGGTGCACTGACCTCCCCACCCTCATTACACCTACAGGCTCCCACCTGTTCAACCCTTCAAGCCCCTCAGGGCTGTTCTTCTCCTCGTTGGGGTTCTCCCTCTCCAGCACCTCTCTCGCCCTCACTCCGAGTGCTGGTGCACTGACCTCCCCACCCTCATTACACCTACAGGCTCCCACCTGTTCAACCCTTCAAGCCCCTCAGGGCTGTTCTTCTCCTCGTTGGGGTTCTCCCTCTCCAGCACCTCTCTCGCCCTCACTCCGAGTGCTGGTGCACTGACCTCCCCACCCTCATTACACCTACAGGCTCCCACCTGTTCAACCCTTCAAGCCCCTCAGGGCTGTTCTTCTCCTCGTTGGGGTTCTCCCTCTCCAGCACCTCTCTCGCCCTCACTCCGAGTGCTGGTGCACTGACCTCCCCACCCTCATTACACCTACAGGCTCCCACCTGTTCAACCCTTCAAGCCCCTCAGGGCTGTTCTTCTCCTCGTTGGGGTTCTCCCTCTCCAGCACCTCTCTCGCCCTCACTCCGAGTGCTGGTGCACTGACCTCCCCACCCTCATTACACCTACAGGCTCCCACCTGTTCAACCCTTCAAGCCCCTCAGGGCTGTTCTTCTCCTCGTTGGGGTTCTCCCTCTCCAGCACCTCTCTCGCCCTCACTCCGAGTGCTGGTGCACTGACCTCCCCACCCTCATTACACCTACAGGCTCCCACCTGTTCAACCCTTCAAGCCCCTCAGGGCTGTTCTTCTCCTCGTTGGGGTTCTCCCTCTCCAGCACCTCTCTCGCCCTCACTCCGAGTGCTGGTGCACTGACCTCCCCACCCTCATTACACCTACAGGCTCCCACCTGTTCAACCCTTCAAGCCCCTCAGGGCTGTTCTTCTCCTCGTTGGGGTTCTCCCTCTCCAGCACCTCTCTCGCCCTCACTCCGAGTGCTGGTGCACTGACCTCCCCACCCTCATTACACCTACAGGCTCCCACCTGTTCAACCCTTCAAGCCCCTCAGGGCTGTTCTTCTCCTCGTTGGGGTTCTCCCTCTCCAGCACCTCTCTCGCCCTCACTCCGAGTGCTGGTGCACTGACCTCCCCACCCTCATTACACCTACAGGCTCCCACCTGTTCAACCCTTCAAGCCCCTCAGGGCTGTTCTTCTCCTCGTTGGGGTTCTCCCTCTCCAGCACCTCTCTCGCCCTCACTCCGAGTGCTGGTGCACTGACCTCCCCACCCTCATTACACCTACAGGCTCCCACCTGTTCAACCCTTCAAGCCCCTCAGGGCTGTTCTTCTCCTCGTTGGGGTTCTCCCTCTCCAGCACCTCTCTCGCCCTCACTCCGAGTGCTGGTGCACTGACCTCCCCACCCTCATTACACCTACAGGCTCCCACCTGTTCAACCCTTCAAGCCCCTCAGGGCTGTTCTTCTCCTCGTTGGGGTTCTCCCTCTCCAGCACCTCTCTCGCCCTCACTCCGAGTGCTGGTGCACTGACCTCCCCACCCTCATTACACCTACAGGCTCCCACCTGTTCAACCCTTCAAGCCCCTCAGGGCTGTTCTTCTCCTCGTTGGGGTTCTCCCTCTCCAGCACCTCTCTCGCCCTCACTCCGAGTGCTGGTGCACTGACCTCCCCACCCTCATTACACCTACAGGCTCCCACCTGTTCAACCCTTCAAGCCCCTCAGGGCTGTTCTTCTCCTCGTTGGGGTTCTCCCTCTCCAGCACCTCTCTCGCCCTCACTCCGAGTGCTGGTGCACTGACCTCCCCACCCTCATTACACCTACAGGCTCCCACCTGTTCAACCCTTCAAGCCCCTCAGGGCTGTTCTTCTCCTCGTTGGGGTTCTCCCTCTCCAGCACCTCTCTCGCCCTCACTCCGAGTGCTGGTGCACTGACCTCCCCACCCTCATTACACCTACAGGCTCCCACCTGTTCAACCCTTCAAGCCCCTCAGGGCTGTTCTTCTCCTCGTTGGGGTTCTCCCTCTCCAGCACCTCTCTCGCCCTCACTTCGAGTGCTGGTGCACTGACCTCCCCACCCTCATTACACCTACAGGCTCCCACCTGTTCAACCCTTCAAGCCCCTCAGGGCTGTTCTTCTCCTCGTTGGGGTTCTCCCTCTCCAGCACCTCTCTCGCCCTCACTCCGAGTGCTGGTGCACTGACCTCCCCACCCTCATTACACCTACAGGCTCCCACCTGTTCAACCCTTCAAGCCCCTCAGGGCTGTTCTTCTCCTCGTTGGGGTTCTCCCTCTCCAGCACCTCTCTCGCCCTCACTTCCGAGTGCTGGTGCACTGACCTCCCCACCCTCATTACACCTACAGGCTCCCACCTGTTCAACCCTTCAAGCCCCTCAGGGCTGTTCTTCTCCTCGTTGGGGTTCTCCCTCTCCAGCACCTCTCTCGCCCTCACTCCGAGTGCTGGTGCACTGACCTCCCCACCCTCATTACACCTACAGGCTCCCACCTGTTCAACCCTTCAAGCCCCTCAGGGCTGTTCTTCTCCTCGTTGGGGTTCTCCCTCTCCAGCACCTCTCTCGCCCTCACTCCGAGTGCTGGTGCACTGACCTCCCCACCCTCATTACACCTACAGGCTCCCACCTGTTCAACCCTTCAAGCCCCTCAGGGCTGTTCTTCTCCTCGTTGGGGTTCTCCCTCTCCAGCACCTCTCTCGCCCTCACTCCGAGTGCTGGTGCACTGACCTCCCCACCCTCATTACACCTACAGGCTCCCACCTGTTCAACCCTTCAAGCCCCTCAGGGCTGTTCTTCTCCTCGTTGGGGTTCTCCCTCTCCAGCACCTCTCTCGCCCTCACTCCGAGTGCTGGTGCACTGACCTCCCCACCCTCATTACACCTACAGGCTCCCACCTGTTCAACCCTTCAAGCCCCTCAGGGCTGTTCTTCTCCTCGTTGGGGTTCTCCCTCTCCAGCACCTCTCTCGCCCTCACTCCGAGTGCTGGTGCACTGACCTCCCCACCCTCATTACACCTACAGGCTCCCACCTGTTCAACCCTTCAAGCCCCTCAGGGCTGTTCTTCTCCTCGTTGGGGTTCTCCCTCTCCAGCACCTCTCTCGCCCTCACTCCGAGTGCTGGTGCACTGACCTCCCCACCCTCATTACACCTACAGGCTCCCACCTGTTCAACCCTTCAAGCCCCTCAGGGCTGTTCTTCTCCTCGTTGGGGTTCTCCCTCTCCAGCACCTCTCTCGCCCTCACTCCGAGTGCTGGTGCACTGACCTCCCCACCCTCATTACACCTACAGGCTCCCACCTGTTCAACCCTTCAAGCCCCTCAGGGCTGTTCTTCTCCTCGTTGGGGTTCTCCCTCTCCAGCACCTCTCTCGCCCTCACTCCGAGTGCTGGTGCACTGACCTCCCCACCCTCATTACACCTACAGGCTCCCACCTGTTCAACCCTTCAAGCCCCTCAGGGCTGTTCTTCTCCTCGTTGGGGTTCTCCCTCTCCAGCACCTCTCTCGCCCTCACTCCGAGTGCTGGTGCACTGACCTCCCCACCCTCATTACACCTACAGGCTCCCACCTGTTCAACCCTTCAAGCCCCTCAGGGCTGTTCTTCTCCTCGTTGGGGTTCTCCCTCTCCAGCACCTCTCTCGCCCTCACTCCGAGTGCTGGTGCACTGACCTCCCCACCCTCATTACACCTACAGGCTCCCACCTGTTCAACCCTTCAAGCCCCTCAGGGCTGTTCTTCTCCTCGTTGGGGTTCTCCCTCTCCAGCACCTCTCTCGCCCTCACTTCGAGTGCTGGTGCACTGACCTCCCCACCCTCATTACACCTACAGGCTCCCACCTGTTCAACCCTTCAAGCCCCTCAGGGCTGTTCTTCTCCTCGTTGGGGTTCTCCCTCTCCAGCACCTCTCTCGCCCTCACTCCGAGTGCTGGTGCACTGACCTCCCCACCCTCATTACACCTACAGGCTCCCACCTGTTCAACCCTTCAAGCCCCTCAGGGCTGTTCTTCTCCTCGTTGGGGTTCTCCCTCTCCAGCACCTCTCTCGCCCTCACTCCGAGTGCTGGTGCACTGACCTCCCCACCCTCATTACACCTACAGGCTCCCACCTGTTCAACCCTTCAAGCCCCTCAGGGCTGTTCTTCTCCTCGTTGGGGTTCTCCCTCTCCAGCACCTCTCTCGCCCTCACTCCGAGTGCTGGTGCACTGACCTCCCCACCCTCATTACACCTACAGGCTCCCACCTGTTCAACCCTTCAAGCCCCTCAGGGCTGTTCTTCTCCTCGTTGGGGTTCTCCCTCTCCAGCACCTCTCTCGCCCTCACTCCGAGTGCTGGTGCACTGACCTCCCCACCCTCATTACACCTACAGGCTCCCACCTGTTCAACCCTTCAAGCCCCTCAGGGCTGTTCTTCTCCTCGTTGGGGTTCTCCCTCTCCAGCACCTCTCTCGCCCTCACTCCGAGTGCTGGTGCACTGACCTCCCCACCCTCATTACACCTACAGGCTCCCACCTGTTCAACCCTTCAAGCCCCTCAGGGCTGTTCTTCTCCTCGTTGGGGTTCTCCCTCTCCAGCACCTCTCTCGCCCTCACTCCGAGTGCTGGTGCACTGACCTCCCCACCCTCATTACACCTACAGGCTCCCACCTGTTCAACCCTTCAAGCCCCTCAGGGCTGTTCTTCTCCTCGTTGGGGTTCTCCCTCTCCAGCACCTCTCTCGCCCTCACTCCGAGTGCTGGTGCACTGACCTCCCCACCCTCATTACACCTACAGGCTCCCACCTGTTCAACCCTTCAAGCCCCTCAGGGCTGTTCTTCTCCTCGTTGGGGTTCTCCCTCTCCAGCACCTCTCTCGCCCTCACTCCGAGTGCTGGTGCACTGACCTCCCCACCCTCATTACACCTACAGGCTCCCACCTGTTCAACCCTTCAAGCCCCTCAGGGCTGTTCTTCTCCTCGTTGGGGTTCTCCCTCTCCAGCACCTCTCTCGCCCTCACTCCGAGTGCTGGTGCACTGACCTCCCCACCCTCATTACACCTACAGGCTCCCACCTGTTCAACCCTTCAAGCCCCTCAGGGCTGTTCTTCTCCTCGTTGGGGTTCTCCCTCTCCAGCACCTCTCTCGCCCTCACTCCGAGTGCTGGTGCACTGACCTCCCCACCCTCATTACACCTACAGGCTCCCACCTGTTCAACCCTTCAAGCCCCTCAGGGCTGTTCTTCTCCTCGTTGGGGTTCTCCCTCTCCAGCACCTCTCTCGCCCTCACTCCGAGTGCTGGTGCACTGACCTCCCCACCCTCATTACACCTACAGGCTCCCACCTGTTCAACCCTTCAAGCCCCTCAGGGCTGTTCTTCTCCTCGTTGGGGTTCTCCCTCTCCAGCACCTCTCTCGCCCTCACTCCGAGTGCTGGTGCACTGACCTCCCCACCCTCATTACACCTACAGGCTCCCACCTGTTCAACCCTTCAAGCCCCTCAGGGCTGTTCTTCTCCTCGTTGGGGTTCTCCCTCTCCAGCACCTCTCTCGCCCTCACTTCGAGTGCTGGTGCACTGACCTCCCCACCCTCATTACACCTACAGGCTCCCACCTGTTCAACCCTTCAAGCCCCTCAGGGCTGTTCTTCTCCTCGTTGGGGTTCTCCCTCTCCAGCACCTCTCTCGCCCTCACTCCGAGTGCTGGTGCACTGACCTCCCCACCCTCATTACACCTACAGGCTCCCACCTGTTCAACCCTTCAAGCCCCTCAGGGCTGTTCTTCTCCTCGTTGGGGTTCTCCCTCTCCAGCACCTCTCTCGCCCTCACTCCGAGTGCTGGTGCACTGACCTCCCCACCCTCATTACACCTACAGGCTCCCACCTGTTCAACCCTTCAAGCCCCTCAGGGCTGTTCTTCTCCTCGTTGGGGTTCTCCCTCTCCAGCACCTCTCTCGCCCTCACTTCGAGTGCTGGTGCACTGACCTCCCCACCCTCATTACACCTACAGGCTCCCACCTGTTCAACCCTTCAAGCCCCTCAGGGCTGTTCTTCTCCTCGTTGGGGTTCTCCCTCTCCAGCACCTCTCTCGCCCTCACTCCGAGTGCTGGTGCACTGACCTCCCCACCCTCATTACACCTACAGGCTCCCACCTGTTCAACCCTTCAAGCCCCTCAGGGCTGTTCTTCTCCTCGTTGGGGTTCTCCCTCTCCAGCACCTCTCTCGCCCTCACTTCCGAGTGCTGGTGCACTGACCTCCCCACCCTCATTACACCTACAGGCTCCCACCTGTTCAACCCTTCAAGCCCCTCAGGGCTGTTCTTCTCCTCGTTGGGGTTCTCCCTCTCCAGCACCTCTCTCGCCCTCACTCCGAGTGCTGGTGCACTGACCTCCCCACCCTCATTACACCTACAGGCTCCCACCTGTTCAACCCTTCAAGCCCCTCAGGGCTGTTCTTCTCCTCGTTGGGGTTCTCCCTCTCCAGCACCTCTCTCGCCCTCACTCCGAGTGCTGGTGCACTGACCTCCCCACCCTCATTACACCTACAGGCTCCCACCTGTTCAACCCTTCAAGCCCCTCAGGGCTGTTCTTCTCCTCGTTGGGGTTCTCCCTCTCCAGCACCTCTCTCGCCCTCACTCCGAGTGCTGGTGCACTGACCTCCCCACCCTCATTACACCTACAGGCTCCCACCTGTTCAACCCTTCAAGCCCCTCAGGGCTGTTCTTCTCCTCGTTGGGGTTCTCCCTCTCCAGCACCTCTCTCGCCCTCACTTCCGAGTGCTGGTGCACTGACCTCCCCACCCTCATTACACCTACAGGCTCCCACCTGTTCAACCCTTCAAGCCCCTCAGGGCTGTTCTTCTCCTCGTTGGGGTTCTCCCTCTCCAGCACCTCTCTCGCCCTCACTCCGAGTGCTGGTGCACTGACCTCCCCACCCTCATTACACCTACAGGCTCCCACCTGTTCAACCCTTCAAGCCCCTCAGGGCTGTTCTTCTCCTCGTTGGGGTTCTCCCTCTCCAGCACCTCTCTCGCCCTCACTCCGAGTGCTGGTGCACTGACCTCCCCACCCTCATTACACCTACAGGCTCCCACCTGTTCAACCCTTCAAGCCCCTCAGGGCTGTTCTTCTCCTCGTTGGGGTTCTCCCTCTCCAGCACCTCTCTCGCCCTCACTTCGAGTGCTGGTGCACTGACCTCCCCACCCTCATTACACCTACAGGCTCCCACCTGTTCAACCCTTCAAGCCCCTCAGGGCTGTTCTTCTCCTCGTTGGGGTTCTCCCTCTCCAGCACCTCTCTCGCCCTCACTCCGAGTGCTGGTGCACTGACCTCCCCACCCTCATTACACCTACAGGCTCCCACCTGTTCAACCCTTCAAGCCCCTCAGGGCTGTTCTTCTCCTCGTTGGGGTTCTCCCTCTCCAGCACCTCTCTCGCCCTCACTTCGAGTGCTGGTGCACTGACCTCCCCACCCTCATTACACCTACAGGCTCCCACCTGTTCAACCCTTCAAGCCCCTCAGGGCTGTTCTTCTCCTCGTTGGGGTTCTCCCTCTCCAGCACCTCTCTCGCCCTCACTTCCGAGTGCTGGTGCACTGACCTCCCCACCCTCATTACACCTACAGGCTCCCACCTGTTCAACCCTTCAAGCCCCTCAGGGCTGTTCTTCTCCTCGTTGGGGTTCTCCCTCTCCAGCACCTCTCTCGCCCTCACTCCGAGTGCTGGTGCACTGACCTCCCCACCCTCATTACACCTACAGGCTCCCACCTGTTCAACCCTTCAAGCCCCTCAGGGCTGTTCTTCTCCTCGTTGGGGTTCTCCCTCTCCAGCACCTCTCTCGCCCTCACTTCCGAGTGCTGGTGCACTGACCTCCCCACCCTCATTACACCTACAGGCTCCCACCTGTTCAACCCTTCAAGCCCCTCAGGGCTGTTCTTCTCCTCGTTGGGGTTCTCCCTCTCCAGCACCTCTCTCGCCCTCACTCCGAGTGCTGGTGCACTGACCTCCCCACCCTCATTACACCTACAGGCTCCCACCTGTTCAACCCTTCAAGCCCCTCAGGGCTGTTCTTCTCCTCGTTGGGGTTCTCCCTCTCCAGCACCTCTCTCGCCCTCACTTCGAGTGCTGGTGCACTGACCTCCCCACCCTCATTACACCTACAGGCTCCCACCTGTTCAACCCTTCAAGCCCCTCAGGGCTGTTCTTCTCCTCGTTGGGGTTCTCCCTCTCCAGCACCTCTCTCGCCCTCACTCCGAGTGCTGGTGCACTGACCTCCCCACCCTCATTACACCTACAGGCTCCCACCTGTTCAACCCTTCAAGCCCCTCAGGGCTGTTCTTCTCCTCGTTGGGGTTCTCCCTCTCCAGCACCTCTCTCGCCCTCACTTCCGAGTGCTGGTGCACTGACCTCCCCACCCTCATTACACCTACAGGCTCCCACCTGTTCAACCCTTCAAGCCCCTCAGGGCTGTTCTTCTCCTCGTTGGGGTTCTCCCTCTCCAGCACCTCTCTCGCCCTCACTTCCGAGTGCTGGTGCACTGACCTCCCCACCCTCATTACACCTACAGGCTCCCACCTGTTCAACCCTTCAAGCCCCTCAGGGCTGTTCTTCTCCTCGTTGGGGTTCTCCCTCTCCAGCACCTCTCTCGCCCTCACTTCGAGTGCTGGTGCACTGACCTCCCCACCCTCATTACACCTACAGGCTCCCACCTGTTCAACCCTTCAAGCCCCTCAGGGCTGTTCTTCTCCTCGTTGGGGTTCTCCCTCTCCAGCACCTCTCTCGCCCTCACTTCCGAGTGCTGGTGCACTGACCTCCCCACCCTCATTACACCTACAGGCTCCCACCTGTTCAACCCTTCAAGCCCCTCAGGGCTGTTCTTCTCCTCGTTGGGGTTCTCCCTCTCCAGCACCTCTCTCGCCCTCACTTCGAGTGCTGGTGCACTGACCTCCCCACCCTCATTACACCTACAGGCTCCCACCTGTTCAACCCTTCAAGCCCCTCAGGGCTGTTCTTCTCCTCGTTGGGGTTCTCCCTCTCCAGCACCTCTCTCGCCCTCACTTCGAGTGCTGGTGCACTGACCTCCCCACCCTCATTACACCTACAGGCTCCCACCTGTTCAACCCTTCAAGCCCCTCAGGGCTGTTCTTCTCCTCGTTGGGGTTCTCCCTCTCCAGCACCTCTCTCGCCCTCACTTCGAGTGCTGGTGCACTGACCTCCCCACCCTCATTACACCTACAGGCTCCCACCTGTTCAACCCTTCAAGCCCCTCAGGGCTGTTCTTCTCCTCGTTGGGGTTCTCCCTCTCCAGCACCTCTCTCGCCCTCACTTCCGAGTGCTGGTGCACTGACCTCCCCACCCTCATTACACCTACAGGCTCCCACCTGTTCAACCCTTCAAGCCCCTCAGGGCTGTTCTTCTCCTCGTTGGGGTTCTCCCTCTCCAGCACCTCTCTCGCCCTCACTTCGAGTGCTGGTGCACTGACCTCCCCACCCTCATTACACCTACAGGCTCCCACCTGTTCAACCCTTCAAGCCCCTCAGGGCTGTTCTTCTCCTCGTTGGGGTTCTCCCTCTCCAGCACCTCTCTCGCCCTCACTTCGAGTGCTGGTGCACTGACCTCCCCACCCTCATTACACCTACAGGCTCCCACCTGTTCAACCCTTCAAGCCCCTCAGGGCTGTTCTTCTCCTCGTTGGGGTTCTCCCTCTCCAGCACCTCTCTCGCCCTCACTTCGAGTGCTGGTGCACTGACCTCCCCACCCTCATTACACCTACAGGCTCCCACCTGTTCAACCCTTCAAGCCCCTCAGGGCTGTTCTTCTCCTCGTTGGGGTTCTCCCTCTCCAGCACCTCTCTCGCCCTCACTTCGAGTGCTGGTGCACTGACCTCCCCACCCTCATTACACCTACAGGCTCCCACCTGTTCAACCCTTCAAGCCCCTCAGGGCTGTTCTTCTCCTCGTTGGGGTTCTCCCTCTCCAGCACCTCTCTCGCCCTCACTTCCGAGTGCTGGTGCACTGACCTCCCCACCCTCATTACACCTACAGGCTCCCACCTGTTCAACCCTTCAAGCCCCTCAGGGCTGTTCTTCTCCTCGTTGGGGTTCTCCCTCTCCAGCACCTCTCTCGCCCTCACTTCGAGTGCTGGTGCACTGACCTCCCCACCCTCATTACACCTACAGGCTCCCACCTGTTCAACCCTTCAAGCCCCTCAGGGCTGTTCTTCTCCTCGTTGGGGTTCTCCCTCTCCAGCACCTCTCTCGCCCTCACTTCGAGTGCTGGTGCACTGACCTCCCCACCCTCATTACACCTACAGGCTCCCACCTGTTCAACCCTTCAAGCCCCTCAGGGCTGTTCTTCTCCTCGTTGGGGTTCTCCCTCTCCAGCACCTCTCTCGCCCTCACTTCGAGTGCTGGTGCACTGACCTCCCCACCCTCATTACACCTACAGGCTCCCACCTGTTCAACCCTTCAAGCCCCTCAGGGCTGTTCTTCTCCTCGTTGGGGTTCTCCCTCTCCAGCACCTCTCTCGCCCTCACTTCGAGTGCTGGTGCACTGACCTCCCCACCCTCATTACACCTACAGGCTCCCACCTGTTCAACCCTTCAAGCCCCTCAGGGCTGTTCTTCTCCTCGTTGGGGTTCTCCCTCTCCAGCACCTCTCTCGCCCTCACTTCGAGTGCTGGTGCACTGACCTCCCCACCCTCATTACACCTACAGGCTCCCACCTGTTCAACCCTTCAAGCCCCTCAGGGCTGTTCTTCTCCTCGTTGGGGTTCTCCCTCTCCAGCACCTCTCTCGCCCTCACTTCGAGTGCTGGTGCACTGACCTCCCCACCCTCATTACACCTACAGGCTCCCACCTGTTCAACCCTTCAAGCCCCTCAGGGCTGTTCTTCTCCTCGTTGGGGTTCTCCCTCTCCAGCACCTCTCTCGCCCTCACTTCCGAGTGCTGGTGCACTGACCTCCCCACCCTCATTACACCTACAGGCTCCCACCTGTTCAACCCTTCAAGCCCCTCAGGGCTGTTCTTCTCCTCGTTGGGGTTCTCCCTCTCCAGCACCTCTCTCGCCCTCACTTCGAGTGCTGGTGCACTGACCTCCCCACCCTCATTACACCTACAGGCTCCCACCTGTTCAACCCTTCAAGCCCCTCAGGGCTGTTCTTCTCCTCGTTGGGGTTCTCCCTCTCCAGCACCTCTCTCGCCCTCACTTCGAGTGCTGGTGCACTGACCTCCCCACCCTCATTACACCTACAGGCTCCCACCTGTTCAACCCTTCAAGCCCCTCAGGGCTGTTCTTCTCCTCGTTGGGGTTCTCCCTCTCCAGCACCTCTCTCGCCCTCACTTCGAGTGCTGGTGCACTGACCTCCCCACCCTCATTACACCTACAGGCTCCCACCTGTTCAACCCTTCAAGCCCCTCAGGGCTGTTCTTCTCCTCGTTGGGGTTCTCCCTCTCCAGCACCTCTCTCGCCCTCACTTCGAGTGCTGGTGCACTGACCTCCCCACCCTCATTACACCTACAGGCTCCCACCTGTTCAACCCTTCAAGCCCCTCAGGGCTGTTCTTCTCCTCGTTGGGGTTCTCCCTCTCCAGCACCTCTCTCGCCCTCACTTCGAGTGCTGGTGCACTGACCTCCCCACCCTCATTACACCTACAGGCTCCCACCTGTTCAACCCTTCAAGCCCCTCAGGGCTGTTCTTCTCCTCGTTGGGGTTCTCCCTCTCCAGCACCTCTCTCGCCCTCACTTCGAGTGCTGGTGCACTGACCTCCCCACCCTCATTACACCTACAGGCTCCCACCTGTTCAACCCTTCAAGCCCCTCAGGGCTGTTCTTCTCCTCGTTGGGGTTCTCCCTCTCCAGCACCTCTCTCGCCCTCACTTCGAGTGCTGGTGCACTGACCTCCCCACCCTCATTACACCTACAGGCTCCCACCTGTTCAACCCTTCAAGCCCCTCAGGGCTGTTCTTCTCCTCGTTGGGGTTCTCCCTCTCCAGCACCTCTCTCGCCCTCACTTCGAGTGCTGGTGCACTGACCTCCCCACCCTCATTACACCTACAGGCTCCCACCTGTTCAACCCTTCAAGCCCCTCAGGGCTGTTCTTCTCCTCGTTGGGGTTCTCCCTCTCCAGCACCTCTCTCGCCCTCACTTCGAGTGCTGGTGCACTGACCTCCCCACCCTCATTACACCTACAGGCTCCCACCTGTTCAACCCTTCAAGCCCCTCAGGGCTGTTCTTCTCCTCGTTGGGGTTCTCCCTCTCCAGCACCTCTCTCGCCCTCACTTCGAGTGCTGGTGCACTGACCTCCCCACCCTCATTACACCTACAGGCTCCCACCTGTTCAACCCTTCAAGCCCCTCAGGGCTGTTCTTCTCCTCGTTGGGGTTCTCCCTCTCCAGCACCTCTCTCGCCCTCACTTCGAGTGCTGGTGCACTGACCTCCCCACCCTCATTACACCTACAGGCTCCCACCTGTTCAACCCTTCAAGCCCCTCAGGGCTGTTCTTCTCCTCGTTGGGGTTCTCCCTCTCCAGCACCTCTCTCGCCCTCACTTCGAGTGCTGGTGCACTGACCTCCCCACCCTCATTACACCTACAGGCTCCCACCTGTTCAACCCTTCAAGCCCCTCAGGGCTGTTCTTCTCCTCGTTGGGGTTCTCCCTCTCCAGCACCTCTCTCGCCCTCACTTCGAGTGCTGGTGCACTGACCTCCCCACCCTCATTACACCTACAGGCTCCCACCTGTTCAACCCTTCAAGCCCCTCAGGGCTGTTCTTCTCCTCGTTGGGGTTCTCCCTCTCCAGCACCTCTCTCGCCCTCACTTCGAGTGCTGGTGCACTGACCTCCCCACCCTCATTACACCTACAGGCTCCCACCTGTTCAACCCTTCAAGCCCCTCAGGGCTGTTCTTCTCCTCGTTGGGGTTCTCCCTCTCCAGCACCTCTCTCGCCCTCACTTCGAGTGCTGGTGCACTGACCTCCCCACCCTCATTACACCTACAGGCTCCCACCTGTTCAACCCTTCAAGCCCCTCAGGGCTGTTCTTCTCCTCGTTGGGGTTCTCCCTCTCCAGCACCTCTCTCGCCCTCACTTCGAGTGCTGGTGCACTGACCTCCCCACCCTCATTACACCTACAGGCTCCCACCTGTTCAACCCTTCAAGCCCCTCAGGGCTGTTCTTCTCCTCGTTGGGGTTCTCCCTCTCCAGCACCTCTCTCGCCCTCACTTCGAGTGCTGGTGCACTGACCTCCCCACCCTCATTACACCTACAGGCTCCCACCTGTTCAACCCTTCAAGCCCCTCAGGGCTGTTCTTCTCCTCGTTGGGGTTCTCCCTCTCCAGCACCTCTCTCGCCCTCACTTCGAGTGCTGGTGCACTGACCTCCCCACCCTCATTACACCTACAGGCTCCCACCTGTTCAACCCTTCAAGCCCCTCAGGGCTGTTCTTCTCCTCGTTGGGGTTCTCCCTCTCCAGCACCTCTCTCGCCCTCACTTCGAGTGCTGGTGCACTGACCTCCCCACCCTCATTACACCTACAGGCTCCCACCTGTTCAACCCTTCAAGCCCCTCAGGGCTGTTCTTCTCCTCGTTGGGGTTCTCCCTCTCCAGCACCTCTCTCGCCCTCACTTCGAGTGCTGGTGCACTGACCTCCCCACCCTCATTACACCTACAGGCTCCCACCTGTTCAACCCTTCAAGCCCCTCAGGGCTGTTCTTCTCCTCGTTGGGGTTCTCCCTCTCCAGCACCTCTCTCGCCCTCACTTCGAGTGCTGGTGCACTGACCTCCCCACCCTCATTACACCTACAGGCTCCCACCTGTTCAACCCTTCAAGCCCCTCAGGGCTGTTCTTCTCCTCGTTGGGGTTCTCCCTCTCCAGCACCTCTCTCGCCCTCACTTCGAGTGCTGGTGCACTGACCTCCCCACCCTCATTACACCTACAGGCTCCCACCTGTTCAACCCTTCAAGCCCCTCAGGGCTGTTCTTCTCCTCGTTGGGGTTCTCCCTCTCCAGCACCTCTCTCGCCCTCACTTCGAGTGCTGGTGCACTGACCTCCCCACCCTCATTACACCTACAGGCTCCCACCTGTTCAACCCTTCAAGCCCCTCAGGGCTGTTCTTCTCCTCGTTGGGGTTCTCCCTCTCCAGCACCTCTCTCGCCCTCACTTCGAGTGCTGGTGCACTGACCTCCCCACCCTCATTACACCTACAGGCTCCCACCTGTTCAACCCTTCAAGCCCCTCAGGGCTGTTCTTCTCCTCGTTGGGGTTCTCCCTCTCCAGCACCTCTCTCGCCCTCACTTCGAGTGCTGGTGCACTGACCTCCCCACCCTCATTACACCTACAGGCTCCCACCTGTTCAACCCTTCAAGCCCCTCAGGGCTGTTCTTCTCCTCGTTGGGGTTCTCCCTCTCCAGCACCTCTCTCGCCCTCACTTCGAGTGCTGGTGCACTGACCTCCCCACCCTCATTACACCTACAGGCTCCCACCTGTTCAACCCTTCAAGCCCCTCAGGGCTGTTCTTCTCCTCGTTGGGGTTCTCCCTCTCCAGCACCTCTCTCGCCCTCACTTCGAGTGCTGGTGCACTGACCTCCCCACCCTCATTACACCTACAGGCTCCCACCTGTTCAACCCTTCAAGCCCCTCAGGGCTGTTCTTCTCCTCGTTGGGGTTCTCCCTCTCCAGCACCTCTCTCGCCCTCACTTCCGAGTGCTGGTGCACTGACCTCCCCACCCTCATTACACCTACAGGCTCCCACCTGTTCAACCCTTCAAGCCCCTCAGGGCTGTTCTTCTCCTCGTTGGGGTTCTCCCTCTCCAGCACCTCTCTCGCCCTCACTTCCGAGTGCTGGTGCACTGACCTCCCCACCCTCATTACACCTACAGGCTCCCACCTGTTCAACCCTTCAAGCCCCTCAGGGCTGTTCTTCTCCTCGTTGGGGTTCTCCCTCTCCAGCACCTCTCTCGCCCTCACTCGAGTGCTGGTGCACTGACCTCCCCACCCTCATTACACCTACAGGCTCCCACCTGTTCAACCCTTCAAGCCCCTCAGGGCTGTTCTTCTCCTCGTTGGGGTTCTCCCTCTCCAGCACCTCTCTCGCCCTCACTCCGAGTGCTGGTGCACTGACCTCCCCACCCTCATTACACCTACAGGCTCCCACCTGTTCAACCCTTCAAGCCCCTCAGGGCTGTTCTTCTCCTCGTTGGGGTTCTCCCTCTCCAGCACCTCTCTCGCCCTCACTTCGAGTGCTGGTGCACTGACCTCCCCACCCTCATTACACCTACAGGCTCCCACCTGTTCAACCCTTCAAGCCCCTCAGGGCTGTTCTTCTCCTCGTTGGGGTTCTCCCTCTCCAGCACCTCTCTCGCCCTCACTTCGAGTGCTGGTGCACTGACCTCCCCACCCTCATTACACCTACAGGCTCCCACCTGTTCAACCCTTCAAGCCCCTCAGGGCTGTTCTTCTCCTCGTTGGGGTTCTCCCTCTCCAGCACCTCTCTCGCCCTCACTTCGAGTGCTGGTGCACTGACCTCCCCACCCTCATTACACCTACAGGCTCCCACCTGTTCAACCCTTCAAGCCCCTCAGGGCTGTTCTTCTCCTCGTTGGGGTTCTCCCTCTCCAGCACCTCTCTCGCCCTCACTTCGAGTGCTGGTGCACTGACCTCCCCACCCTCATTACACCTACAGGCTCCCACCTGTTCAACCCTTCAAGCCCCTCAGGGCTGTTCTTCTCCTCGTTGGGGTTCTCCCTCTCCAGCACCTCTCTCGCCCTCACTTCGAGTGCTGGTGCACTGACCTCCCCACCCTCATTACACCTACAGGCTCCCACCTGTTCAACCCTTCAAGCCCCTCAGGGCTGTTCTTCTCCTCGTTGGGGTTCTCCCTCTCCAGCACCTCTCTCGCCCTCACTTCGAGTGCTGGTGCACTGACCTCCCCACCCTCATTACACCTACAGGCTCCCACCTGTTCAACCCTTCAAGCCCCTCAGGGCTGTTCTTCTCCTCGTTGGGGTTCTCCCTCTCCAGCACCTCTCTCGCCCTCACTTCGAGTGCTGGTGCACTGACCTCCCCACCCTCATTACACCTACAGGCTCCCACCTGTTCAACCCTTCAAGCCCCTCAGGGCTGTTCTTCTCCTCGTTGGGGTTCTCCCTCTCCAGCACCTCTCTCGCCCTCACTTCGAGTGCTGGTGCACTGACCTCCCCACCCTCATTACACCTACAGGCTCCCACCTGTTCAACCCTTCAAGCCCCTCAGGGCTGTTCTTCTCCTCGTTGGGGTTCTCCCTCTCCAGCACCTCTCTCGCCCTCACTTCGAGTGCTGGTGCACTGACCTCCCCACCCTCATTACACCTACAGGCTCCCACCTGTTCAACCCTTCAAGCCCCTCAGGGCTGTTCTTCTCCTCGTTGGGGTTCTCCCTCTCCAGCACCTCTCTCGCCCTCACTTCGAGTGCTGGTGCACTGACCTCCCCACCCTCATTACACCTACAGGCTCCCACCTGTTCAACCCTTCAAGCCCCTCAGGGCTGTTCTTCTCCTCGTTGGGGTTCTCCCTCTCCAGCACCTCTCTCGCCCTCACTTCGAGTGCTGGTGCACTGACCTCCCCACCCTCATTACACCTACAGGCTCCCACCTGTTCAACCCTTCAAGCCCCTCAGGGCTGTTCTTCTCCTCGTTGGGGTTCTCCCTCTCCAGCACCTCTCTCGCCCTCACTTCGAGTGCTGGTGCACTGACCTCCCCACCCTCATTACACCTACAGGCTCCCACCTGTTCAACCCTTCAAGCCCCTCAGGGCTGTTCTTCTCCTCGTTGGGGTTCTCCCTCTCCAGCACCTCTCTCGCCCTCACTTCGAGTGCTGGTGCACTGACCTCCCCACCCTCATTACACCTACAGGCTCCCACCTGTTCAACCCTTCAAGCCCCTCAGGGCTGTTCTTCTCCTCGTTGGGGTTCTCCCTCTCCAGCACCTCTCTCGCCCTCAATTCGAGTGCTGGTGCACTGACCTCCCCACCCTCATTACACCTACAGGCTCCCACCTGTTCAACCCTTCAAGCCCCTCAGGGCTGTTCTTCTCCTCGTTGGGGTTCTCCCTCTCCAGCACCTCTCTCGCCCTCACTTCGAGTGCTGGTGCACTGACCTCCCCACCCTCATTACACCTACAGGCTCCCACCTGTTCAACCCTTCAAGCCCCTCAGGGCTGTTCTTCTCCTCGTTGGGGTTCTCCCTCTCCAGCACCTCTCTCGCCCTCACTTCGAGTGCTGGTGCACTGACCTCCCCACCCTCATTACACCTACAGGCTCCCACCTGTTCAACCCTTCAAGCCCCTCAGGGCTGTTCTTCTCCTCGTTGGGGTTCTCCCTCTCCAGCACCTCTCTCGCCCTCACTTCGAGTGCTGGTGCACTGACCTCCCCACCCTCATTACACCTACAGGCTCCCACCTGTTCAACCCTTCAAGCCCCTCAGGGCTGTTCTTCTCCTCGTTGGGGTTCTCCCTCTCCAGCACCTCTCTCGCCCTCACTTCGAGTGCTGGTGCACTGACCTCCCCACCCTCATTACACCTACAGGCTCCCACCTGTTCAACCCTTCAAGCCCCTCAGGGCTGTTCTTCTCCTCGTTGGGGTTCTCCCTCTCCAGCACCTCTCTCGCCCTCACTTCGAGTGCTGGTGCACTGACCTCCCCACCCTCATTACACCTACAGGCTCCCACCTGTTCAACCCTTCAAGCCCCTCAGGGCTGTTCTTCTCCTCGTTGGGGTTCTCCCTCTCCAGCACCTCTCTCGCCCTCACTTCGAGTGCTGGTGCACTGACCTCCCCACCCTCATTACACCTACAGGCTCCCACCTGTTCAACCCTTCAAGCCCCTCAGGGCTGTTCTTCTCCTCGTTGGGGTTCTCCCTCTCCAGCACCTCTCTCGCCCTCACTTCGAGTGCTGGTGCACTGACCTCCCCACCCTCATTACACCTACAGGCTCCCACCTGTTCAACCCTTCAAGCCCCTCAGGGCTGTTCTTCTCCTCGTTGGGGTTCTCCCTCTCCAGCACCTCTCTCGCCCTCACTTCGAGTGCTGGTGCACTGACCTCCCCACCCTCATTACACCTACAGGCTCCCACCTGTTCAACCCTTCAAGCCCCTCAGGGCTGTTCTTCTCCTCGTTGGGGTTCTCCCTCTCCAGCACCTCTCTCGCCCTCACTTCGAGTGCTGGTGCACTGACCTCCCCACCCTCATTACACCTACAGGCTCCCACCTGTTCAACCCTTCAAGCCCCTCAGGGCTGTTCTTCTCCTCGTTGGGGTTCTCCCTCTCCAGCACCTCTCTCGCCCTCACTTCGAGTGCTGGTGCACTGACCTCCCCACCCTCATTACACCTACAGGCTCCCACCTGTTCAACCCTTCAAGCCCCTCAGGGCTGTTCTTCTCCTCGTTGGGGTTCTCCCTCTCCAGCACCTCTCTGGCCCTCACTTCGAGTGCTGGTGCACTGACCTCCCCACCCTCATTACACCTACAGGCTCCCACCTGTTCAACCCTTCAAGCCCCTCAGGGCTGTTCTTCTCCTCGTTGGGGTTCTCCCTCTCCAGCACCTCTCTCGCCCTCACTTCGAGTGCTGGTGCACTGACCTCCCCACCCTCATTACACCTACAGGCTCCCACCTGTTCAACCCTTCAAGCCCCTCAGGGCTGTTCTTCTCCTCGTTGGGGTTCTCCCTCTCCAGCACCTCTCTCGCCCTCACTTCGAGTGCTGGTGCACTGACCTCCCCACCCTCATTACACCTACAGGCTCCCACCTGTTCAACCCTTCAAGCCCCTCAGGGCTGTTCTTCTCCTCGTTGGGGTTCTCCCTCTCCAGCACCTCTCTCGCCCTCACTTCGAGTGCTGGTGCACTGACCTCCCCACCCTCATTACACCTACAGGCTCCCACCTGTTCAACCCTTCAAGCCCCTCAGGGCTGTTCTTCTCCTCGTTGGGGTTCTCCCTCTCCAGCACCTCTCTCGCCCTCACTTCGAGTGCTGGTGCACTGACCTCCCCACCCTCATTACACCTACAGGCTCCCACCTGTTCAACCCTTCAAGCCCCTCAGGGCTGTTCTTCTCCTCGTTGGGGTTCTCCCTCTCCAGCACCTCTCTCGCCCTCACTTCGAGTGCTGGTGCACTGACCTCCCCACCCTCATTACACCTACAGGCTCCCACCTGTTCAACCCTTCAAGCCCCTCAGGGCTGTTCTTCTCCTCGTTGGGGTTCTCCCTCTCCAGCACCTCTCTCGCCCTCACTTCGAGTGCTGGTGCACTGACCTCCCCACCCTCATTACACCTACAGGCTCCCACCTGTTCAACCCTTCAAGCCCCTCAGGGCTGTTCTTCTCCTCGTTGGGGTTCTCCCTCTCCAGCACCTCTC